CTGCCCGCTACTCCCCTCAGCAGTGTACTTTGTCATTCTGCCTGTTCTGCTCCCCACTCTGTCTCTGGTGAATCCTCTCACCCACCACACCTCTGCACTGTACCCCAGTTCTCTAAGCATAAGTAAATAAATCTTTAAAAACAAATAAATAAAAATAAAGTACCCTGATGAGATTTTACGTACAGCCTGAGTTGAAGCCACAGTTTTGTACCCTATTAAAAGTACCTTCTTACCTCCCTTTCTTCCTTTATCAAATAATTATTGAGTAGCTACTGAGGAGAGATGTTTCATACGTGTGAAACATGTAGTAAAATATATGCGGCTATGTCTCAGTAGCTCCCAAAACAACATGACAGAACAGTAGGGGCTAAAGGAAGGTCCCACTTTGGAGTGGGTGGGAGGTGAGCCAGAGGTGGTGCTTAGCAGAAGTGTTCTTCCTTCCCTCAGCCTGTCTCAGTGTTGTGGCACTAACCCAAAGCAGAAGCACCCATCTTAGTATGGGTTTTCCCTGAAAACAGGTATATCTACAGCTGCTATGACAGCTTACCACAGCTGAGCAGCTTAAACAACAGAAACTTATTATCTTGCAGCTCTAGGGGCTGGGAGTCCAAAATCATGGTGCCAGCAAGGTTGACTCCTTCTGAGGGAAGTTTCTTTCTTCTTGGTTCAAGATAACCATCTTTCTGTTCGCATGGATTTTCCTTGCGTGTGGATGTCCATGTCCAGATTCCCCCTTTTAAGAAAACATTAGTCAGATGGTGGTGACTGCATCTTAACTAATCACATCTGCATAGTCAGGACATCAGTATATAGGACATCTGTGTATGGATACGGGGAGAGGTCAGCACATAATAAGAGGCTGTGAAGAAAATGGGAAGTAAGAAAGCTGAGTTTCTCATCGTATGAGCCTCAGGGGTGATACAGACAGTGTGCACAGAGCCACCCCAGCCCTGATGATGCAGGATGGCCCAGGGGTCACCTAGCAGTCCATTAGAAGACTGTTTTGTCTAAGGTCTTTTATTCCTGAACCCTTAACTGACCTGATCTGAACTTTTCCTAACTTGCTGGACCTCCAGGGGAATTGCAAAAAACTGACAGTTACTGTGGGTCTCCATCATACTGCCAGGTACGTGGTTTAGCTAGCAGGCTGGTGACTGAAAATGCCTGTAGTGGGATTAAAAACCTTCAAGATATTTCAAACATTATATCTACTGTGACAGCCAGGAGAGAAATATGCTGTTAAAAGACCACCTTGCTCTGAGTGAGTAGCTGAAATCTTCCAATGTCCAATTAACAGAGGCTAAATTTTAAATATGTATACATATATGTGTGTGTGTGTGTGTTTAAGTGTAGTGAGATTAAAAATCTGTCCTCCCAGGACTTCTTAGCCATTGAGCAATATCTAGGATATTGGTTCATTCAACAATTTTGCTTTGAGTGCCTACTATGTGTCAGACACTAGTCTGAATGTACATTAGTAGAGAAATAACAAAATTCCTGTCCTCTTGAAGCTTAAATTCTGTATCTGCCCTGTTTTTCACTAGCACATAGTTATGGCTATCACATTAATGACAGTATGAAATATGCCATCAAAATCTGTATTTCATACAAGAAAAAAATATAGCCAGTGAAGTATTCTAGAAGGAACAATCCAATTCAAAACTACTACAATGGTGATATTTAAGTGTTAAATCTGAGAGTGACCTTGTGATTCTTTTCTACTTTATTATTTTTCACACTTTAATAGGCATGTATCACCTTTATACTGAAAAAAAAAATTATAAGATATGGGTGAAATCCATGAGAGCCCTAGTGTAGCCTGGAAAAGACTAGAAGAGTTACAACTAGTACTCCTAGCAGCCATACTGTCTTGGGTTAGACAAGTGAGTTTCAGCCCTCTTGTTAGCTATGTGACCTGAAATAAGTCACAATGTTTTTCTAATTTTATTACAGTGTCATAATCTATAAAAAGGAAAGTAATAGGCCCAACTTGACCTGCCAGAGTTATTAAAAGATAAAATTAATATATGCAAGCAAACACAAAATAGTGATTATGCATGGTAGATGTTCAGAGTTTGCCAGACTGAGCTGGAAATGATCAAGTCTAGAGCTCGCATGCATTGCTGGTGGGAATGCAAAATGGTGCTTTCCCTTTATAAAACAGGTTGGAAATTTCCTAACAAGTTAAGCATGCATAGAATGACATTCCTACCATTCTACTCTCAGAGATTTGCCAAAAACAAACAAACAAACAAACACTTATTGTCCTACAAAGACAATGCACAAATGATCATAGCAACTTTATTCATAATAGTCAAAACCTAGAAATAACCTAAATATCCACCATATCAGGTGAATGGATAAGCAAGATGTGATATAGACACACAATGGAATACTACTCAACAATAAAAAGGAGTATTAATACATACAACGGTGTGAATGAGTCACCAAAAAATTATGCTAAGTAAAAGAAACTGCATAAAATAGTATACCACTATGCATAACAGTGTACATGCTGTATGATTCTATTAAAAATTTAGGGAAAGTGAAAAAAATAGAGAAAATATCAATTAATGTATAGTGACAAAAGGCTGTTCATATATTGCCCTGGGATAGAGTAGAAGACAGACAAGGAAAGAATGAAAGATTACTGCCTGTCTGTTGAAAACTTTTGGTGTGATGGATATGTTCAATATTTTGATTGAGGTGATCGTTCCACAATGTGCCAAAGCTTATGAAGTTGTGCACTTTATCTATGTGCAATTTATTATATGTCAATTTCTTCTTGATAAAGTATCTTTAAGAAAAAAAAAGTCAATCCCAGAGCTTCCTTCTAAGAGGAAGGGAAAACGCTATCACTTCTCTTAATCAGCCTAACTCTCACACGGGAAATGTGAATCAAGTGACCTGTTGATTTTGAGTATCCAGACAGGTTTTCTGCATGAGCTATGAGGATGGATTCACTGCAGAGGAAGATTTAAATTTCTCAATGCAGCCAGTCTTAAGTTATTAAATTTTTAAAAAATGGTATGGATTTCTGTCCAGAGTCACAAGACAAGCTACAGTCAGAGGGTTACATTTTCTCCCTGTCAAGAGCTGATGTAGCAAGCACAGAAATATAAAATGCCTCATCAAAAAATTAATGCCCCAATATCCAGGAGGCTATTGTATGTGGGTAACAGATTTCAGATAATAAAGAGAGATGCAAATGTAAACCATCAGGTTTGTTTGTTTGTTTTTTATAATATATCACAGTGATACTGATATAATTTTTAAATATAAAAATGTCTGCTCTTTTTTTTTTTTTTTTTTACAGAAACCAAATTGGTCTTGCCAGGATTAACAATGACAAACAATAAATACCAGGAAGAAGCAAATGAATTTCAGGACAAAACTAAAGAACTAGATTAAAGGGATTAATAGTCCAACTCCCAGAATCAGAAAAAAAAATAATTTGTGCCTAGGGGTGAAAATAGGTGATCTTTTTCAATCTTGGCTGGTTCCAGAAGATGACCCCCAGAAACAACAGAATTCTGGGCTATTTTACTATGTTGTTGGACAGTTAAAAAAAAATGATGCTATTTATTCGTGAGGTACCTTGACATTATTTAAAATCACTTTGTTTTTTTTTAATCACTTTGAAAAAAACTTTTATGTCTTCTTTTATATCACATTATTTAACAGATGCTGCTTTTCTAAGTTATTTAAGATTTGATATAGAATGATTATTCAAACCCCAGTCATGCAGTAAATTTTGTTGCTGCTAGCCTGGCTAAACTGGTCTATAGTAGCTAGTCTCAAAGACCTGAGAGTTGAAAGATACTTTGAAGAATATCCAGGGAAATTATGGAGGTCAGGGATGGTTCACCAACTGCAGAAGCAAGGCTAAGTTTAGCCAAGTCTTATGACTCTAGCATTCAAAAGCTGCACCAACACACTATTCAACATTAGAGCAGGTTTTCAGAAAGGTCCACGAGCCTATGGGGGGATATAAAACTTAAGAGAGAGGCACCTGGAAAATAAGGCAATGGTTCTCCCTTTCGCAGATTTGACCTGCTTATGTAAACCCCAAGAGAAAGGAAAGAAACATTTACTGAGCACCTGCTGTCAGTTTGACACCTAATAGAAGCCTAGATAATTAAGTTACCGTGTGCTCCTACAGAGCATATGCTGTTGTGGAACAAAAGTATACAGACAACTCTAACATAAGGTCTTAGTGGAAAGTACATAAATGCTATAAGGAGAATGCAGAGGACTCTCAGGTAAGTTTGCCACTTCTTTGCCTGACACATCTGGTGAGACTTTGGACACCCTTGTTTCTCTCTTCCCTTTTTGCAAGGTATCCATATTAGTTCCTTTACTCAAGCTGACCTGATTTCACGAAACATCCAGTATATCCATTCCAGTGAGAAGGAGAAATATTCAGATGCCTTCAGCTTTACACTTTCTGATGGAGTCCACGAGGTAGGTGAGGAAGGGGTGTTGATTCAGCGCAGTCTCTGCAGGTGCAGAGAGACTCCCTTGGGAGCTGTGCTCTAAGAGCTTCTTTCTCCTCTTCTCTCAGCCCACATTAGAGCTGCCCCAGCCAAGCCTTGGATGCTTGGTAAAGAGAATTCATCCTTGGGCTCTGGTCAACAGTTGTGGCCAAGAATGGTGGGCGAAAAAAAGTAGACAAAAAGCAACTTTCTTCTGTGACATGTGTCCCATCTCCATTTTTCTGCCATTGTAGGTGGCCCAGACTTTCCACATCACTATTCGCCCTGTAGATGATTCATTGCCTGTTGTACAGAACTTGGGATTGCGGGTGCAGGAAGGGGTACGGAAAACCATCACAGAGTTCGAGCTCAAGGCTGTGGATGCAGACACTGAAGTAAGTGTGTGCCCCTGGGGTCTCTGGCATGTGAGAAATGATCTAGTGGCTTTGTGGCTGTGCCTTGTGGGGAGAAAGCAGGCATCCTGGAAAGATTAAAAACAGGAGGTATTTTCTGAAAAAAAGAAACTAATAATTTGAGATCAAATTGTTTTTAAATCCTTTCTAAGACCCTAAATTCATTCACCGTCTCCCTTGATTACAAATTACATCCTTTTATCATGCTGATTTTATCATGAATTATAGAAGTTAGGTAGATGCCATTTTACCCAGTATTTTTGTCATGCCCTCTTAGGAGGAACAAGGATTTTTTTGTTTGTTTTTTTTTTGCCCCTATGTTCCTTTGCTTCCATTTTGCCTCCTTTATCCAGACTTCTCCAGCTGATAACTCATTATTACAATTTGAGCAAATGACTAGACAATACAGTAAAACAGGTATGTAAAAACTAAAAGTTATTCTGAAGATGCTTTCAGATTAAAATACCTGTCATTCTGAAGTGATTTGGCTCCAAAAAGTATCACAGACTTATTAACTAGTTCTATCCATCTATCCATCCATCCATCCATTCATTCATTCTTTCAGTGTGTATATCTCCCAGTTGAGTGCCAGCTCTGTTCTAGATGCTAAATACAGACCGATGAGTAAGACAGCTACGGTTCCAGCCAGTCATAAGTGTTTACAACCTATACCCCTAAGGGACTGACAAGAAAGAAAGAACATAAAATATCACATCAGATATAAGTGCTGTGAAAAAAAAGTAAAATAAGCTAGAGATTGATGGTGTGCTATTTTAGACAGAGTAGGCCAGGGACAGGCTGTCTGAGAAGCTGATACTTGAGCAGAGATATCTTGAAGTGGAAGAACAAGCTTTGCAGTTATTCGGGAGGACCACTCTCTGGGAAGAAGAACCAGAAGTACAAACACCCTGTCATCTAGTACTTGGAACCACTGAACTATAAGCGGAGAACCCAAGAGACAGGAGCCTAGTTAACAAACAGGAGAGAAAGAAGAATGAGGCCAGTGAGGATGCCTGTGGCCAGGCACAGAGCGCCTTGTTGGCCCGGATCAGGCCTTCACATTTTATTCTGTTAGTGGAAAGTATTTGCAAGGGTTTTCTACTTCATGTTTCTTTCTATGTGTCACCGTGGAAGCCACTATTAGGAATGGGAAATTAGCTGTGGCTCTTGTACATGTGGGATTCTTACGTAAGAATTTTGGGAAAGTGGGAGAATGAATAGAAAGGAAATGGATAGTTTTTAAAGCTCTAGTCCCTGTCATCCTAGTATAGGTTCCAAATTTAGCTTTCCCCTAGACCCCTTAGAGTACAACTGAAGGCACCAGAATATAAGCTCCATTATAGAAACCAACATGATTTCCTCCTTAGCTTTACTTTTTTTTTTTTTTTCTATAAAGAAGATGAAATCCTTACGTTGTCCGTATCTGCTGGTTGGACTGTCTTTGCCCACCTGTTGACCATCACTCACTCATCTGGTTCCTGTTAGGAACTTCCTCTCTTCTTTTGCTTTTCCCCCCTTTGACAGGCCGAGTCTGTCACATTCACCATCGTGCAGCCTCCACGCCATGGGACCATCGAGAAAACCACCGGAGGGCAGCGCATCCAGCATACCTCCACCTTCACCATGGAAGATATCTACCAGAACCGGGTCAGCTACAGCCATGATGGCAGCAACTCCCTCAAAGACCGCTTTACCTTCACCGTTGCTGATGGGACAAATCCCTTCTTTATAATTGAAGAAAGCGGAAAAGAGGTGAGGAGCAAAGGAAGGAGAGGAGGCATACAAAGCATGCTGGACATTGTGTAGAAACAGAACATGGTGTTTTTTAGGCCCAGGGCTGTACTGTTTGAGACTTTATTCTGTCACTCCCTAATTAGTCTTCAGCAAATGACTTAATTTTTCTAAGACTTGGCTTTTCATCTGTAAAATGAGTACAGTAATAATCCCCACCTTCCATGATTCTAAGATTCCAAGGAGGTACTCCACATAAAATTGCTTAACACTGGGGCAAATGTGGACACTCGCAATAAAAGGTGATCATTTTTATTGCTGCTGTTCTAGCTCTTCTCCTTTTGCCCATGCTTTGCTCCTTTAATTTGTCTGCTTTTCAATATCATATGATTCCAGATTGTCCCCTCAGCCAGCCAAAGTTTCTCAGTCTCATGAAGAAACATGTGAGTAAGAGTTTGGCTTTTACCTCCAAAAGACACATTTAAATTCAGGTTCTGGCACATACTGGCTAGTTTCTTTGTAAATCACTTAATCTTTCTAAGTCTTACTTTTCCTAACTATAAAATGAGGGTGATACCCACTTTCATGTTTATATAAATCACTTTGCCCAGTGCCTCATCCCAGGAAACACACAATAACTCTGGCTACACGCCCCATCCTTTTATGACCAACTTGAGAAATAGATAAAGATGCATTTCTCTTGAGGGCGCAAAAATGTAAATCTTTTCTTCTTCTTTAACAGAACTATTTCCTTCCAATAACTAAGTATCTAAAAGAAATTACAAGGTTCCCTGTCTACTACGTTCCCTGATATTAGTATTCATTCTGATAGTCCTTAACTGGCGTCCTGCACTACTGACCTTCCCCTGAGACCACAGCTGATCTGGTGAGGGTAGGCCCTCTAGCATCCTGACACCTCACACATCTGCGTCTGACTTGGGAGAAGCAGATTTAGTGAGTGACATGATGATGATACCCATGCCCTTCCAGGAGAAGAGGGCACCAGCTTCTTAGACCTGAGCGTCCTCTTCCTATTTTAATAATGGGTTTATTATAATAAATAATTCTTTTCTTGGGGTGGAGGGGAACCGTCTGTACTTTTTGGAGACAGCAGTGTGCAAGGTCATTCTCAGGTGACTGACGTGCTGGCGGGGTAGCTCTTGGGATTTCACTGTCATTTCAGTGTCTGTACTAAGTCTCCATCTGGCCACTCATCCCTTTGATTATCTCTCCAAACTGTAGCTGTTCTCCAGCTAATTTAACTTTTGGAAGAGAAAAAATACATATAAGATGAATCAGCAAGAAGGCCAAGCTTCTTATAAACATAGAAAGGTCATATTGGTCTCCAGAGGCACAGTGTCATTTTAAAAATGGAAATTATATAAAAAGAGGGCTGTGGACAATTGAAAAGCTACTTTGGGCCCTCCCTGGTGGCATAGAGGGTTAAAGCACAGTGCTGTGAAGGTAGCCACAGCCACTGCAGCATTAGTTCGATCCCCAGCCACATAGGTGACCCACATGGCGTGGCAAACCTCTCCTGACCTGCCCACTGCTGATCCCCTTGTCAATCAGCCTGTTCTGCTCCCCATTCTGTCTCTGGTGAATCCTCTCATCCCTACATCACTGGCCTGTACCCCAATTCTGTGGGCCAGCTCGCTGTGTCCACTCAGGACCTAAGGTAATGGGTGGGTCTTGCCCTATCTTTGTGCCTGTTGGTAAACAAAATTACAAACCAGAATTTCTTTTCACTCTTCCCACCGACTTTTTTATTCTCCATTTTTTCTATCCCATCTAGTAGGTTTTTAAAAAAAGACTTATGTATTTGTGCATATAAGAACTGGGTACAAGCCAGAGGTACAGGGCATGAGAGGATTCACCAGAGACAGAGTGGGGAGCAGAACAGGCAGATTGACTGAAACACACTGCTGAGGGGAGCAGCAAGCAAGACAGGAGAGGTTTGCTGCACCAATGAGTCACCTCCCTGGCTGGGGATCAGACTTGCTGCAGTGGCTGCGGACAGCCTTATAGTGCTGTGCTTTAACCCACTGCATCACCAGGGAGGGCCTCGAGTTAGTAGTTCTTTCTCAAGAAAAACAAAAAGAAAATTTCTTCACAAGAATCCTCATTTCCTATCAGGTAGAATCCTATCTGAAGACTTTGACATTAACATTGTCATGATGATTTTTGTCTACCACTCATGAAAATTTTAATAAGAGTTCATGAAAGAAAAATATTTTAATTGTTTCACCTTCAGGGCAGTATTGAATGGAAATAAAGCATGCATGGGTGTGTGAAAACCAACTACCTTGTGAAATTCCAGCAGGAGTTCTGCTTATTCCTTACTTTTCTTACATTGCTTCCACTTTATTAGTCAGCGTTCTCCCTGTTAAGCCTCGTGCCAAGGGGCTCAATTTCTCCTTCAGAAGTGCCACCGGATTTTAGGGGTACAGATTTTGTAGATCCTGGAAAACTTTAGGTATCTGAATGATAAGTCTTCTCTTTGGCTTCCCTCCAGGTTAGGACAGCAGCACCTCAGCAGTTCCAAGTAGACATCCTCCCAGTAGATGATGGCACCCCTAGAATTGTTTCCAACCTGGGGCTCCAGTGGCTGGAGTATATGGATGGCAAGGTAAGGCCTTCCCCTGCCCACCTCACATTCACACTCAGTAATTAGACGATATCCTCCTTCAGAACACTGACTTATGTGGAGAGCTCATTTTCATTCGGTTACCCCTCCTGAGGAGCTGATCTTCTGAAGATTGGTGAACTTCATGTTTTGTTAGGATTACATGTAGTTTCTTTTTTTTTTTTTTTAAGATTTATTTATTTATACATACAGAACTGGCGTACAGGCCAGAGGTGCAGGAATGAGAGGATTCACCAGAGACAGTGTGGAGCAGAACAGGCAGATGTACTGAAATACACTGCTGAGGGGAGCAGCAGTGTATTTGGATTGCAGCAGGTTGGTCAGGAGAGGTCTGCTGCTGCTCCATGTAGGTCACCCTGTTGGCCGGGGATCAAACTTTTGCTGCAGTAGCTGTGGTAGCTTCATAGTGCTGTGCTCCAACCGGTCATGCAACAGGGAGGACCCAGAATTGCATGTAATTTTAAATACTCTTACCAAAAAAACCCAAAATACAGTAATTCAAACAAGATAGTTTTTTGTTGTTTTTTTTATAACATTATAGTGATTTTTTTTTAATGACCTGCAGGGTGTAAGAGAAGCTCTACGTGACCATTCAGAGAGACAGATTTCTTTTATCTGACTGTTCTGTCATCACTAGATTCATACAGTTGACAGTATGACCAACCGTTCTAGCTATTTATAAAGAGGCTTGCCCATGGGGAGGGGGACAGAGGGAAGCAGAGGGCAAGGAGCTTTCCTTTCAAGAAATGATGCTGATATTAAGCACATCATTTGTATGGAATTAATAGTTGGCCCCACCGGGGGCACTAGGAATCTTTAGCTCAGTTAACTTTTGGTAATGAGAGGGGAAGAATAGGTTTTAGAAAATATTTGGATAGATAAAAAAAAGAAATTTTTTGGTAGTATCCTCAGAGGAATTCTAGTTTAGAGATTTTTTTTTCTCCTTTTCCTAAAAGATATGTTAATATCTCTGCCTTAATTCTCACCTGATAACGTGTTAAGTCGTGAGTCCTCACCCTCACCCAAACACACACAGATCTTCAGTTCAGTTGAGAACTCTACTTTTGTAGGTGGTATTCCCTCTAGAATATGTCTGGTTTATTTTTTCACCTCTATGGGGCTGAATATTTGGCTGTACATGTAAGTTTTATGTCATTGCCTCCAAGTGAACTGGAAGGGATTTTTTTAAATATATCAAACAAAATTAGTGTGAATTCCTCTTTGCCCTATTTGATTTTTTTTTATGTAAAGATTTATTTATTTATTCATACAGAACTGGGGTACAGGCCAGAGATGCGGAGGGTGAGAGGATTCACCAGGGACAGAGTGGGGAGCAGAACAGACAGATCAACGAAGTACACTGCTGAGGGGAGCAGCGGGCGGGTCAGGAGAGGTCTGCCTCTCCATGTGGTCACCTCCGGGGCAGGCAGGGATCGAACTCATGCGGAAGTGGCTTAAGCTTCTTAGTGCTGTGCTTTAGCCTGCTGCGCCACCAGGCTGGGCCCCTATTTGATTTTTTACTGCACATTGAAAACCGTCCTGTTCTCTTCTCAACATTCTCCAGATGGTTTTCTACTGTACCCTATTGCAGCAACTCTTATCCGTCACCAATGACCTCTGTTTTGCCAAAGGTCACTTGCATGTCCTTACTGAATCTTGTAATATTTAATACTGCTAACCATTCTGTTTTCTCTTTCAAACATTTGCTCTCATTAAATACTTGTTGAATGAACAAATAAATGAATGAAGTGAATTAAAGGTTAGTTAATATATTTAAGCAATATTGGGATACAATATATTTACTATACTCAATTTCAAGCATTATAATTCTCTTTTGTAAAATAGAAGGTGTCCATCTTCCTTGTATTGTAACATCCTTTTGAAGTTCCTATCTTCTTTTAAAAGGCCAAGCTGAAAGTTCACCCTCTTGAATTCTTTCTTCCCCAACTGTAGATCGAATTAATCTCTCCCCAGTTTGGTTTAACTCCCCCAGAAAGACAGCATTCTTTTTGTATCTCCAGTTATAGCTCTTGCCACAATCATGAGTCTTTTTTTTTTTTCAGTCTTTCTTTCTCAGTAAAGTGTGAAGACCTCAAGGCCAGAAGCTGGAATAGTTCCTATGTTCATAACCTCTCCAATCCTGGCAGTTTTCTATGCAGTAAATGCACTCAGTAAATCACTGTTGAACTGAATTAAATCTGAGTCAGAGGGTCTTGTTCTCACTTTATTCCCATCTCAGGAATTAAATTTAATGGGTTTCTATTTCAGGCAACCAACCTGATCACCAAGAAGGAACTGCTGACCATGGACCCAGACACGGAGGACCTGCAGCTTGTCTATGAGATAACAACAGGCCCCCGGCACGGCTACTTGGAGAACAAGCTGCAGCCTGGCAGAGCCGCTGTTACTTTTACACAGGGTGGGGACTCAGGGAACCGAGACATGACAGAAATTTGTTCTAATGGCCACACTTCCTACCTCCCTGTTCTTCCTCATAAACACTTCTGGCTATTGTTACCCAAGTAGCCTATTTATAAACAAATATATTTGAGTGTCTAACCATCCAACTTTTGAATTTTCTCCTGCTGATTTTGTTTCCTATTACTCTGAATTAATGGCAAAGAAAATTTCTTCTTTGTCATGCTTCCTCAGTTCCCAAATGGCTTTAGGTTTTACCCAGGTTTTCAGAAAGGATCAAATAATATTACTTGGGTTGCTTAAAAAACAAACACCAAAAGCAAAATCAAACACTAGATTTTATTAAAGTTCTGTGGTCCTGTGAGTTTTATTTTTTATTCTCTAAGGACTATAGACTTTTTTTTTCCTTCAAGGCTACATAAAATAAATTAAAGTCAACATGAGTAGGTTGCTCAACAGAAATAATGTCCTATATTGAATCGCATCAAGCAGACAATTTATATTTCAGTTTTTTATAAGCTTCTTGGAGCTTTCTAGACTTTGAAGGATGGACCTGAATGAGAGTAGCCATTGCAAAATTGCATCTTAAATTCATGCTCTATATTTTCATTTTCTTCCTGTCCTCAGTCTCATGTTGTCTCCTAGTACCATGTTATCTGCACCTTATGTATGGGTTCTTTTATTTTTTTTTTAATTGTCAAATACATAACAGAGTACTTTATCTACAAGGAATTGGAGGTGAGCATATATACACAGAGAATGGAGTCAAAGACTTTTCTCAGTCAGTTGTCAGATTACTTCTAACATTCCATAGACATTTATTAACATACCTTTTACTGAGCCCCTGGAATTCTTATTTTACAACAGTATAAGGGTACTTCCTGTATGTAAAGACAAGACTTTTGTTACCAAGAGCTGTGGGATCTTATTTTAAAGTATAGCAGAAACAGCTTATGTTTAAATCTATTATCTTTTGTCGTTCTTGGGAAAATAAGTTCTGTCAGTAACTTTTTCAAAAAATAACTGGGTATGTTGGTGTGGGAATCTATGAAGCTGCCTTTTTCTCCCAGGATCAATTTACAGTGTTGTTGTTGTTGTTTTCTTCACAGAGGATGTGAACTTGGGGTTGATCCGTTATGTATTACATGAAAAGAAGACCCATGAGATGATGGATAGTTTTCAGTTTCTGGTGAAAGACAGTAAGCCCAATGTGGTCAGTGACAACGTCTTCCATATCCAGTGGTCCCTTATCAGCTTTAAATATACCAGGTACCTATGTTATGGTATGTTCTTTTATGAGAACTGGATCCAAAAAGCAGTGAAGAGCAGGATGAAGCAAGGCCTAATGTCTGAGTGGTCGTGTAAAGTTCCCAGCAACTGAGAAAGTCAGGATGAAGTAGGTCAATTCTAGTCATTTGATGATGGTTGTAGAATGATGATGATAATCCTAATCATTATCATCATCACACAGAGGAGGAGGAAAAGAAAAATTACACCAAATATTTCTTAAATAACTGTATGTACCAGGCAGTATCCTAGATACTTGATAGACATTATCGTATTTAACACTTGCAGTTATGAGATGAATATTATTGCTCCCACAATGACAAAGTAGTAGAAACAGCAAAAGGTTAGGAACATGCCCACAGTCACATAGCTAGTAAGCTGTCATACCAGGACTTAGCCCAGCAGTCTTAAGCTTTATGTTTTATTTTCTTTCCTACCTGATTTTTTTGCCTACAAGTATTTTCAAGTTTTGGAAAATTATCCAGTAGAACTCATAAGAATAAAAGTATACATTCGAGTTCTGGAAATAATCGCTGGCCCACAGACAGTATCTTTGTCTCCATCCACTGCTTCCTTGTTCTCAACTTGTGTTCTCTTCTAGCTCCTTTGGTGTTCATGGGCTGTATATGTCTAGGGACAGGTGCATAGATTAACACAGATAGTTGTGTAAGATGCCTTTGTGGTCTGTTGGGGACTTAGGCAAACAGAGACTCTGGTTGGTAATGATAAACAAGCACAGTGCTGATTTTATAGTTGAATAACAAATATGATTATAGTTATGGGGGGATAATTACTTAAATCTACACTCAGACACTGTTCTAAGAAATATATTTCTCTATCCTAATAAATCAACTTCATGACAATTGAGATGAAAATTAGAAGTGGGAGTGGGGAGAAGGAAGGCAGAGAAACTTGATCTCATGGTATCCTAAATGTAGGATGTACTTCTCCTACTCACACATACTAAGAGAATTGGAGGAAAATTAGAATAAAATTAAATATTATGTTTTGTTTGAATTTACTTCTTATTTATAGTTCCTTCAATCTTAAATAAATCTATGAATCATATTTTTTCTGGACAGCCCTCTGATGTTTAATGGACTAAGTAGTACCGAGGGCCCCACAGCTGGCAGCAAGGACTAGGCACTTTGCCTACAGCTCTCACAGCAGTAAGGCACCAGCCCCAGTACCATGGCCAGGCTCAGTGATGAGAAAGAAAGCCCTGCTCAACACCACTCACTTGTGATTTTTCCTAATCTGGATCCTTACTATGAATTAATAGTGGATAGTATAGAGCTTGCCTCCTTCTTTGTAAAGCCAATACTCATTTCTCTTAGCAAGCTAAGATAATAGACTACTTCTTAGTCTGTTCCAGGTGCAGTAACAGACAGCATAGACTGTGGGGCTTGATGGACTAAATAGGCCAACAGAGATTCACTGTATTTCACACAGTTCTAGAAGCTGCAGTGTTCAGTATCAAAGTGCTAGCAGATCTAATGTCTGGTGAGGACTCCCTTCCTCGCTCATGGATGGCTGTCCTTCTCCTTTGACCTCATATAGCCAAGGAACAGGGGGTTTTCTAGGGTCAGGACAATAATCCCATTCATGAGGGCTCCACTCTCATGACCTAATCACCTTTAAAGCCAAAAGCCTCTCTTTTAAAACCATCACACTGGGAGGCTCAACATGAATTAGCTTGAGGAGGGAAGGGTTTAGTGCTCTGTCATTCCCCAGTTGTCATGAAGTTCCATTTATATGAACACCTTGTTACCTGGGCCCAATTCTCATTTTCTTACCCTTTGGCTCTCCCTGGCTTCTTTGCATACTTCCTGGAGATCTGGTAAATCATTGCCTTCTGTGTAGCTTTCTTCCTATGATCCCACCAATCTATTCTTAATTACACTTTCACACGAAGGAGATTGTTAATTCTGCCTGTTCTCAAATACCACATGCAGAGTGCCAATGTACTGTCCCACCTATGAATGACTCAAACTTCTCTGAAAATGGGACAGGTACCACTCTGCCTCCCTACCTTCCTTGGTTACTTCAAGATGGTTTCCGTGGTGCTATGACTGCCCCATGGATATGTTTCCTCTAAGTACAACCTGTCTTCTTAAAAGAACTAAATTTCTCTGAAATGCCTGTACCAGTAAGCAAGCAGAAGAGATGGATATTAACCAAGTGTATCTTCCCAGTCCTGGGGTAGAATTTCAGACACTGCATTTCTGTGTGCTTCTAGCTACAATGTCAGTGAGAAAGCAGGGTCCGTCAGTGTCACAGTGCAGAGGACTGGGAACCTAAACCAGTATGCCATCGTCCTATGCCGCACGGAGCAAGGCACCGCCAGCTCCAACTCCAGAGTCAACTCCAACCCTGGGCAGCAGGACTACGTGGAGTATGCTGGTCAGGTAGGTGGGTGAGGGCCCATGATTCCTAAACGCCTGCCAACTCAAGCCAGGAAGGTGATCTTGTTTTTGGCTCTGGTGAATGAAGAAGCTTATGTTGGGAAAATGCAGAAGCTTAAGTTACCTAGCTCCTCAGTCTTTAGTTTTTAACCTAGTATCTTGCATGCATCAAGTTCAACACTAAGGAAAGGAAGAGAGTGCAGGGAAGATTACAGGGAGACCCCTTGGGAAGCTCTTGGGATAGGCTGAGTGAGAGATGATGGGAAATTGAACTTCATTTACAGAGTGAAGGGGGAGACAAGTAGACAGATTCAATAGATGAGTAAGAACTGGTAGGACTTTGTAGTAGATGAGATATTAAGGCAGAAGGCAGACAGGGATAATGATGCCCTTTGCAGCACACTAAGAGCGACAGTTTTGATGAGGGGATGATCTTGACTCTACTGTGAACTTGTTGAGTTGTGAGTCTCCTCAGAGAAAGTAAGTTAACAGCAGTGTAGGTTGGTGGGGAGTGCTGATGGAGTCCAGCGTAGAGAAATGCATTCACAAGTGTATGGACATAGTGGTGGCAATGAATGCCAGGGTATGAGTGAGAGATGAAAGCAGACAGTGAGCACAAAAGAATAAGGGGGAGGACTTAACTACAAGATACCCTGTACTGGTCACCTCTTACGTTCAGTGCAGTGCCCGGCACATGTTAGGTACTTACAAAAAAAAATTTTTTTTTTAAAGATTTCTTTATTGGGCCCTCCCTGGTGGCACAGCAGGTTAAAGAACAGCACTGAGAAGCTAAAACCACTTCCGCATGAGTTCGATTCTCGCCTGCCCCGGAGGTGACCACATGGCGTGGCAGACGTCTCCTGACCCGCCCACTGCTCCCCTCAGCAGTGTACTTAGTCTATCTGCCTGTTCTGCTCCCCACTCTATGGTGAAGCCTCTCGCCACCCCTGACCCTCTGGCCTGTACCCCAGTTCTGTGTGCACAAGTAAATAAATCTTTAAAAAAAAAAAGATTTATTTATTATTTATGCATACAGACTGGGGTACAGGCCAGAGGTGTGGTGGATGAGAAGATTCACCAGAAACAGAGTGGAGAATAGAGCAGGCAGATGGATGAAGTACACTGCTGAGGGGAGCAGCGGGCGGGTCAAGAGAGGTCTGCTGTGCCATGTGGGTCAGCTCCCTGGCCAGAGATCAAACTTGTGCCTTGCCGCAGTGGCTTCTGAGAGCTTCATAATGCAGTGCTTTAACCCGTTGTGCCACCAGGGAGAGCCCTTACCAAATGTTTTTTAAAGTAACTTCATTATTACTATGAGACTGTAAATCTCTGTAAAGAAGAGCAGGCTCTCTCTTTTATATAATTCAGTGGGACTAAGCTAAGCTCTCTTATGTCAAATTTAAATGAGGACTTAGAAAGAACTGATACGCAAGAGTCTTTTAGCTAAATTATAAGCAAGCTTGTATACTTGTGTATTTCAAGGAAAGGCCAAAGGCCTTGAGTGTTCTATTTAGTAGAAAGATTTTTGAAACATGAAACTTAGAAAAGTTTAATTTCATTAGTTGATTAGATATGGAATAGTAATTTTCTACTGATGAAAATGATGTGTTTCTCAATTTGTATATCCATAGAGATTTATTGCTATTTTTACACATGTTTCATCAGTCTCAGTTTACACAAAATACAATGCAGACCCATTTACTGCCCTGCCAGTTGGCACAAATCCAGAGCCCTAGTTTCATTTGAAGGTTTTAGCTTTATACTTTTCTATCTATACCAACTAAAGTCAAAATAAATTCCTGTAAATTTGCAGTGTGTGCATACAAAAAAATTCCTGTTTTGTACAAGGCTTAGTTCATTCACCTTATAAATCGAGCCCATCTTAATGACAAAATATTTAGTCAAATATAATGTTAACATTTAGTCTGACTTGTTCATAATGTAACTTTCTATGAATTCAGACTCCTTTTTTTAGTACACTGAGATTCTATGTTAATTTTGGTTATATAAGTAATATGGTTATGGTAATGATAAAATCTTACATTTGGTGTCTTAAAACATACTTAGTGCTTCTATTTACATTATCTTCTTTAGTTCTTTTAATGATTACATAAAAAGAAATATTGTTGTTGCTTTTTAAATAATGAAGAATCTGATGTTTCATAACTTAGCCTTTCAGAGCCTAACCTAGCTTGGAAGTAATAGAACCAGGACTTGAGGCAAGAGCCTCACGTTTTGAGTTCAAAGATCATTTCACAATAGAAGGAAAACTGAGTAATAGAATGACCCTTCATGTTCCAAGGAAGTTAGTAAGGCAGTATATGATCAGTTACCTACCAGCTTCACTTTAGTGAATAAATAGTTGGAGACATCTTTCCCCCCTTATTTCCTGATACAATAAATATAGATGAATAGAGGAAGAAGAGGTAGTTAAGTGTTCCCAGTGATACGGTAGAAAATTGGGACTGAAGGAATCAGCTATTCCATTCTGGTTTTACCCTTTGGATGTGGGTCTTCTTTTCCCATAATGCTCTAGGGTTGCAAACAGGGGAAGTTGAATCACCGCTTATTTAGCTCTTTTGTTGTTTCCTTTTTGACAGGTGCAATTTGATGAGCGAGAGGACACTAAGTCCTGCACCATTGTCATCAACGATGATGATGTGTTTGAGAATATTGAGAGCTTCACTGTGGAGCTCAGCATGCCAGCATATGCACTATTAGGGGAATTCATCCAGGCGAAGGTCATTATCAATGACACTGAGGACGAACCCACGTTAGAGTTTGATAAGAAGACCTACCGGGTCAACGAGAGCGCTGGTTTTCTATTTGCACCTATTGAAAGAAAAGGTCTGTTGGTGCCAAAGGTGATAAGCAGCCCTAATAGTAACTAATATTCATTGAGTCCCTTTTAGGTGCCAAGAGCTCGTGTACCATATTAACTTATGTATATGTGTACTTTCCCTGTGCTGACTCATTTAAACCCTCTCTGCAACATAATAATGACTCTACCTACCTGTAGTGAGTACTATCAGCAGTCTTCTCTTTTTAGTTGAAGTTGTTAAAGGTCCTATTTATTCTTCAATGTGGCCCTGAGGACTAGTTGTATTCAGCTTTGCAAATAATTCATAAACTCATAATTCGAAACCCAGCACCTTAGACCACTGGTCATACTAACCTGAACAAACTAGGAATTCTAAATCAATCACACAGGCTATGAAATATTTAGTAGCCTTGTCAAAGAAGTTACAAGTCATAAGAACTGGCTTTCCATCTTAGTTCTTAGAAAAAAATGTAAACTTATTTAAAGATTTCCCTAAGTGCATGTCATATAGAACACAGATGAGAAATAAACTGTGTGAGACATACAGAGCAATTCTTGAGGGGTTGACAATGAAAACAAAGATTGTATAGATTTATGATTCTACAATATTAAGAATTTAAAACACTTGAAAATTAAATCCCCATTCAAAGCAACAACACCACTGTTAATGATGATGTCAGCTTTTTTACTGAATCTGCTGACAGGATGTTAGTATAAAAAAAGCTGTCAATAGCATAAAGCCTTGGTGATGCCACTTGCAAACAGCAAGCCCACTGATTGCTTGGGACCAGCAAGCCAGGCCCAGAGCAGGCTGTCACCCAGGGAAGTGGCAGCTCTAGTAAGCAAAGTCATTTGTGCAGAGACGGGTTTTATTTTCTTTTGTCTTCCTTTTTATAAGTAAGCTTGTTTCTCCTTGGGAATTAAAGTGAAGAAGATTATTCTGAAAGGCAGTGAACTGCGCTCATGGCACTACCTTCAGGACACCATTATTTTGCTACTTAAAATACCAAATATGTTTCTTATCTTGCCACCCACTGGGGTCTTAGATGGTGGGCAATGAGTCTTGTGAATTAACAGAGCACAAAACTCACAGAATAAGAAATCCATTTTAAGTTGTTCGGTGAACGATCTGGGGTATATTAAATCCTCAAGTGATTAATACCATAGGCTTAAGAAGAGCTGTAGAAAAAGTTCATGTCAGGGTTTGAACAGAATTGGTGATAAAATGTGTCCGAGGGAAGCAAGCTCATTAAATGACCAGAAATTTTGAAATTTGAGAAGTGCGCACTCAAATGTATTGGTTTTATTACCATTTTATTGCAGGGGATTCAAGCAGCATTGTATCTGCAATTTGCTACACGGTCCCTAAGTCAGCTATGGGAAGTAGCCTGTATGCTCTCGAATCAGGCTCTGATTTTAAATCTAGAGGAATGTCTGCGGAAAGTCGCGTGATATTTGGGCCTGGTGTCACCATGTCCACCTGTGATGTCATGCTCATTGATGACAGCGAGTATGAAGAAGAAGAAGAGTTTGAGATTATCCTGGCCGATGCTTCTGACAATGCTCGCCTTGGGAGGGTGACATCGGCCAAGGTGCTCATTAGTGGCCCCAATGACGCCTCCACTGTGTCCCTGGGCAACACGGCATTCACTGTCAGCGAGGATGCAGGTAATGGAGAGCTTCTCTGGGTTTCCATCCTTCAGCTCCTGATTCCTTCCTTGAACAGTTTCCTCTCAGAATTGAGAATGTCTTTTCAACATCAAGCATGTCATATCTCAGTGCCCCCCACTGTTGGTCTGAGGCATAACAGGATGCTAGGTCTCTACTAGAAAGGCAAGGAATGAAGAGTAGAGCATTCTATCTACTTTTTGATGGTAGGATCTGGCTTAGAGCTTCATTGACTGACCTCTGTGGTCCAGAAGGAGAACAGAATGCCAGACAGTTTGGCTTTTGAAGGTGAGTGATCTGTTGAAGGTGGAGGTAGGCCATTTAGTATAATGCCATCTGCTAAGACAAATTGCAAGATTTTAGTGTGTCAACAAATGGAACTTCCCCATTTCTGTAACAGCCCAAAACAATTAGTGGACAGACATCTTCCACTCTGGCTCCTCTCCTCTTCCGGCTGCACAAGAGTCTGGAAGTGACCTGTATGCTCCTGGCAGACATACAAACATGCGCCCTGAGAGCCAGCTTATCTGAGCCCTGTGCAAGGCTGTTCACCTCTTTGAAGGTGATATTCTGAGCAATAGCAAAAACTGATGCTTCTGAGCACCTGCAAAGTGCCAGGCCCAGGCAGTGTGAGTGTCATGCGTTCTCCTGTTGTCTTCCGTGGAAAGAGATTAAGTAAATCATCAAAGATCAGCAGCGAATATGAAAAAACTGGGATTAGAACTCAGGCCTTTGTACTATAATAGTTTCTCTTCCATACACTGTGAGCAGCAGACATTGCTTGGCACCTCACAGCTTATTGGCAATAAGAAAAATACGATTGATGGACTTTTCATATTGCTTTTCTTCTGCCTTAATTATAAATGATAGCTAAAAAGAGTCGCAAGCCTAGGACCCTACAGAGTGTACTGTCACAATGGACCAGAAGATGAGCTTCATTCCCAAGATAATCAATAAGCACATGTGGTTTAAGTAATGGTGTGTGCAGCACTCAGATAAAATAAGGAAATATTCCAGTTAGAAACTTTTAATTAGAAACAACCCACTTCAGACCCCACAGAGTCTCCTAGCTAGTTCTTCCTTAATGGGCTGTTTTAAGCTCATCTCTGAGCCACTAGTCTTTGCCTTTCTTCTCCCTCAATAAGCTTGAGATGCTCCCACCAAGTTCATTGTTCTTGAGTGTGAACAATCGCCTGTGAAACCACAAAATGACTCTCCTTGTAGGCTTGCCCCTCCAGCATCACCTGCCCCAAGTCTGCTCCTGAGCTTAGTGTCAGTAAAAAGGTTTATGTCACCTCTTAGCTGTCATCAGAAGACTATAGCTCATAGTTCAACTAGTCAACAACTTAACAGGGGAAGCTACTGCTATGGCTGAGAAGACCTGGAAAAACCCTACTGATTTTCTGGCTCAAGGTTGACCATTGAAATCTTTGTGACTCTCGCTTCAGGCACAGTAAAGATCCCTGTTATCCGCCAAGGCACTGACCTCTCTACCTTCACATCTGTGTGGTGTGCCTCTCGGCCCTCAGACCCGGCTTCTGCCACTCCAGGCGTGGACTATGTCCCCAGCTCTCGGAGGGTGGAGTTCGGGCCAGGTATCACTGAGCAGGTGAGCAAACTGCAGTGCCCAAAACCCAGGTGGATCTGTTAACACTGTCTCTGGTCAGCTGTCCAGATGCTCTGCAGGACTCTGAACCCCCTCTTGCAATATTCTTACCTTCTTTTTCTTTAAATATCCAAACCTACAAACAAGAGGGTATCATGCACAATCTCCAGGTGATACTTTCAGCATTTTCCTTCCAGAATTACTGATTTAAGATAGAAATAACACTTGTCTGATATAAATATCTAGAGAAGTAATACCTAAGGGTATTCAATAAAGAGATAGCCATTTTATGGATTAAGGAAATTAAAGACCATCAAAGGCAAATTGTCATCTTTGAACTGATCTACCAAAGACATTTGTGTGTTGAGTATTCTTTTAGTTTGCTTTGATTTTTCTTCTTGTTTTTAAATTACAAAAAAACATATTGCATTGTCATTGACATACATTAGTTTCAGGTATACAATATAATAATTCAATAATGCATATATTGCAGTAAGTTTAGTTAACATCTTGTCTTCTCTTCTAGTACTGCACCTTAACTATCTTAGATGACACTCAGTACCCCGTCATCGAAGGACTGGAGACATTTGTGGTTTTCCTCAGCTCAGCACAAGGTGCTGAATTGACCAAACCCTTCCAAGCTGTCATTGCAATTAATGACACATTCCAGGATGGTAAGAGATCAAGATGCCAGCCGGTGGCTCAGACTATATTTCTATTTTCTCCTTCTATGTTATACCTTCTATGTTTATGACACTGAAAGTCATTCACATTGTCACTCAAGAAATGTGTGTGTGAGGACATGTATGAGAACATGCATGTGTACATTTTTACATAAGAAAATGAATATGTTAAGATATTTCTCATCTTTCAGAGAGATTACAACAGCATGCATCCAATCAAGAATGTATCTCAGAGAAAGAAATCCCAAAACCTATTTCAGCAACCATTATAGAGCCCTGGTTACTTCTGTTGGTTCTCCCTTCGAGGAGACTCAAGCTAACTTTTGTTATGTGTCTTTTCTGTGTGTATATTCTGGGGTAGAAAGTGTTATGTTATTTCATAAGTGCTTCAATTTATGAAACTAAGGTTGAATAATTTAAGATCACACAGAGAGGAGTCAACTGAACCAGAATTAAAACCCAGATCTATTCATCCAAGTATAGTCTTCCAGTACTATACTCGACAATGCTGATTTTTCAAGTTGCTGTTTTAGCTGGCATCACTCTCTATATAACAAAGTTTAATATCAACTGAAAAGCCTTACAAATTCTACGTCCAGCCTTCTATGTCCTACTTCTTTTCATTCTTTCTAACCAACTGATTTCAGTCCCTTAAGTCATCGATCACTAATCTCAGATTATTTTCCTGTTTTCCACCTTCTTCTCCTGCTCTGGTGTCCAGAGTTAGGCAATGCTGGGGTCCGAGGATAGCATAGTAAAGCAAGAAAACTCTTGCAGCCACTCCACCTGGAAGCAGGAATAGAGCAGTGTTCCTGCTTCCTGTGGGGGTAAGACAGCCTTGGAGGGTTGCAGAGAGGATGACATGAAATGACATATATGGCAACCCCTTGGAACCTTCGAGTGCCATCAGTCCCCATGCAGGAAGCTATTCCTGAATTCACTGTCTATCTTCCACTCTCTCTTGTCCCTGTACATTGCAGGAATGAGGGCTCCTTAAAAGCAGAAACTGACCCTTCCAGAAACTCATGAGATTTTTGTTCCTTTTGGTTTTGACAGGGCATATCCGTAACAGCCACTTTGTCTCTCTGCCTCCCTCTTCTTTTCCCCAAACCTGCCCACTATAAATAGGTTCTGCCATTTACTACAACAGACAAAACATCTAGACCTTTAATGGAAAGGAACTTTAATACATTTAGTGTGTAATACAAAAAAGACAAAGAATATAACCTCTAAGTCAAGCACCCAGAATTATCCATCATCCCCTGTGGGTAAAAGGCCAGCCAAACACGACTACCCCAAAGCAAGGCCCAAAGGCCTGCCACAGGTCTAAAGCACCTTCTATTGGGAACCCATAGAAAAAGGTCAAAAACAGCCACACAAGTATGGGAGGAATAGCAAAATCAAGATAAAAGCTGCCATTGTTAACCTCCTGTGGGTCTCTCACCCACATCTGTTTTACTCAGTCCACAACCAAGAAACAAGAGCAGTTTCTTTATGTCTCTCTGCTCCTTGTGACCCCTGCAGACCTCCTTCTTGCTCTCCATCCTGCTTTCTTCCTTCCCCAGCCTCTTCTCCAGATTCTTCTTCTCCCTGCTCAGCTCCACCTTCCTTTGGGTGGGGCAGGGAACCTGGCAATCTCCCCCTTTCTTGGGGACCACCCTATTACAGTAGGGAATAAGGGTAAGGGGTTAATTTCTTGTGAGAGAAAAAAGGAGACTTTTATAGCTCAAGGGAAATTTTGGCTTGATTAATACATGACAAAGCCCAGACAGTACCACTTTCGTTTTTAACTTTCTCATCACTTGATGCCTGTGGGGCCGGCAAGAAAAATCAATCTAAAGCATTAGATAATCTGCCACAAACTGTAAAGCTTCCTTGCTTGTGTTCCTTTTTACCTAGTAACAAGCTTCCTTCTTGACTCCTCCGAGGTCATGTCATTGCTGCTACCTTTGAACATTTTATTGGAGGACAGAGCCCTTAACCAGTGCAGGGCCTAATGTAAAAGTTGTTAATTTGCCTTTAGGTGTGGAAGTGTTTTAAGGGATAGCTTCTTGGGTTGTTTTTGTTTGTTGTGAATGGGAGTTGTTAGTCTTAGCTCAGAGAATATATTTTATTTTTGCTGTTGCCAACAGATCAGAGTGTGTTCAGACTGGAGGCAATCAGAGTTTTCTACATTTCAGCCAGGAAATGAGTGACTGTAGCTTCCTGTAGCCCCAAAGACTGCAGGAGGCTTTGATATATGACTAGGGGGACTGTTCTCTGTATTGTTTATTAAGAAATTAATAACCAGCAGTCAACATAATGTTGGTCCAAATCCTGTGCAGAGGATTACCTTAGGCCTGGTACAAAGTAGAGGGAAAAAAATGTTCCTTTATATTAAGAAGCCTGGAGCTGGGGCAATGCAGATCATACCATAATTCCTAACAAAAATTGAGTTCTGGTATGTGCTGGATAAAGGTATTGAATGCCATGCATACATCACCTCATTAAATTCAGTCTTCTCAATGACTCCCTGAGTTAGATAGTAATATTTCCAATTTATGTATTTTAAAAATCCCTGCCTCAGAAAACCTAAGTAATCTTCCCTATATCATGCAGCTCATAAGTAGCAGAGCGGGCGCGTGTGGAAAATCAGGGCTATTTACTCCAAAGCCCTTGTTTTTATCTACCATTTAGCTATCCTGCCTCCCTGAAGTTCAGTGGGGTCATGTGAATTATAAAACAAGAGGTAACTCTAACAGTGGGAGTCCACTGGATAAATTTAGCATGTGAATGTTTTTGTTTGGCCCTAGAAGATTTGACCTACATAGAATTCTTTTTACTGTTTTAATTGGTTGCTACTTTAAAATTTGGGAACTAAGACATAAAAATCCAGATCTTTGCCTTTGTTTGAAAATAAAAAGATCTGCTGACAGTATATTAGCACTGAGGGGCAACCTCCTGGATGGAACTTGTTCAACCACATTGGGCCCCAAACTATTACAAGGCAACCCCAATATGAAATGGGTTGCCTGACTATGGGTCCTCACCTTTGTGCTTAAAGGGGACTTTAATAAGACTCAAGCACACATAAAAAGCTTAGTAAAGGGAAATGAAAAAAAAAATTAATAACCCAGGGAAAAAGAGAAGGAGGTAAGTAAATTAATGCATCTTACCAGTTCCACTGACCCAGAACTCCAACAGCACACTGAGAGCCAGTGAAAAGCCCAGAGTCAAGCCAAGAGGCCAAAGACCCAAGGCCCACATGTCTGGATTTATACCAAATCTGGCTGGTTGACTCCACCCTCAGGTCTCAGCAGTTCTGCCATCTGTGGTGATGGGATTTGTAGTCACAGTGTCTTAATCTCTGGTCTGGAGTGGGCATGAAGTCCACAAAACCTGTCTGTAGAATTCATTCACAATATCCTTTCCCCTAACACTTTTACTTTGTAACAATGTCCCCATTCTTCCCTGTGGCCTCCCTGGTCCAAGACCAAAGTGAGTGGCCATTATTGTCAGGCTTGCACTATTTTCCTTAGGGTAACCTCCAAAGAAAAGTGAACTTTTGACCCTCCCTGGTGGCACAGGGGGTTAAAGCCAGCACAAAGAAGCTAAAGCCACTTCAGCATGAGTTCGATCCCCACCCCAGAGGTGATCCACACGCCGCTGCAGACCCCTCCTTTCCTGCCCGCTACTCCCCTTAAGCAGTGAACTTTGTCAATCTGCCTGTTCTGCCCCACACTCTGTCTCTGATGAATACTCTCACTGCCCCTGCATCTCTGGCCTGTACCCCAGCTCTATATGCATAAATAAATAAATCTTTTTTTTTAAAGTGAACTTTTTTGAAAACTTCAGCCACTATCAAAGTTTTTTATACCTGGTCTATTTCTTTACTTGCATTGTTTGCTGCATTTGAAATAGTGATTATATGCTAAAGCTAAGCAAAAACAAGTACAAAGTTGATTCATTCTGGTTCACTGGAACCACACAACAATAGACAGCAATGATGCCTTGAGTCCTGACCACCTGTCAGTCCCAGGTCGCCCTTTGTGCAGCGCTCCTGGAAGAGGCTGCTGAGGGCTGCAGCCACTTCCCTCTGTCACTAATGATGCCCCATCTTTCCTCCTTATCCAGTGCCCAGCATGCAGTTTGCCAAGGATTTGCTCCTAGTAAAGGAGAAAGAGGGGGTCCTGCAGGTACCTGTCATTCGCAGTGGAGACCTGAGCTACGAGTCATCGGTGAGGTGCTATACTCAGAGTCATACAGCACAGGTCATGGAGGACTTTGAGGAGAGAAGAAATGCAGACTCTTCACGGATTACATTTCTGAAAGGGGAAAAAGTAAGTGGTTTGGTGGTAGCTGACAGAGGAGATTCCCTCTTCCTTGATGTCTTTGTCCATGGTGGGGTGATTTAGACAAATTCTGAACATTCTAAAATTTTCTTACCATTTGATGACATTTTACATAATGTCATCTGTTTGAAGTAGTTATTTCTTTGTTTCCTACTTCTAGTCAAATACATGTATCACTGGTTGAAGAAAATTTAGACAATGTAGAACATTTTGGGAATTTAGCAGAATCAAATGAATGAGGCCTCTTTTTAATTTAAAGGTAAGCTAGAAATGAACACTCCAGCAGTGTAACCTAGATGAGAAGGAGATACTTCCCTTATACCTGGGCACTTGTCCAGGGTAACATACTAGTTTAGGACCCACAGAACAGGCCCAAGTAGGCAGACACTGAGCAGACGCAAGTCAATCAAATATCCTCATGAGAATATGCAAGAAAAGTGATCTATTTGGGCCCAGGAACTCCTGAGAAACTCCAGGCACCAAGTACTAATGCATCTGAACCTCAGTGTAGGTTGAAAGCAGTTATGGACTGAGACTATTTTCCTAATTTTTTTATCTCAGTTTCAGATAAGTGAGTGATTTATACCCTTTGGTTTAAGGCACCTGCTGTTTACTGTTCATTCAGTTCAAGGTCCTACTCTTATTTTGTTTATTTACTCATTTTCCAGCCACTTTCCATCCACCCACCTCAGAGCTCATTAGTCATGTTTATTATGCATCCCTTGTGTTTTTTCTTTCAAAATGCCTATTGTTTGGGGTGCATAATTTTTTACTTATAAAATTGTTATGTGTTGTATCTTTTTCAAACTTTCACTGTGTTTACTCAGCAATGTGTCTGAAGATCTGTATCTCTTTATCTATTGCCTTGAACTGTTGCATATTTCATGATATACATTTACTACATTTTACCCATCCACTCACCAGTAGACAATGAGGAACTTCAAAGAAAGCTCTCAGTCACCACTTAAACACTGCCACTAAAAATAATGTCTTAGAATACAGACTCAGACATACCAATTTGCAGATAGGAATGGGAATTTTTCTGAATTCATTCAGTAGCAAAGTTTCTGGCCGTGCATCTGCTTGATTTGAAAAAAAAAAAAAATATGAGAATACTTTCCAGACTGTCGCTAGCAGTGCATGAGGTTTGCAATAACACTACATCCTTTCCAACACTGAGCATTACTCACTTTGGAATTTCTGCTAATCTTACATGTATAAAGTTGTTTTGTTTTAATTTACATATATCTAATTACAACTCCTTTTTATGTTTATTAGCTTATTGGGTTTCCTCTTGTGTAAATTTGTGTTGTTTGTTCCTGTATTGCTATCTTTCTTTTGCTTTGTAGTACTTTATGCATATTCTAAATAGTAATTTTTGTAAGTTTTAGGCATTTAGAGATTATGAACATATTTTCCCTTTCTGTCACCTATCTAATTCCCTCTATCTGTGTGTTCTTATTTGAACAGAAGTCTTCAATCTTGATAGTCAAATATATAAGATTTTTGCTTTCTGACTGGCCCTTTTTGAAGTTGAGCATAAGATGACTTCTCTATCCTACATCACCCCAGATTCTTCCTCAGTTTATCTTTGCTACCAAAAAAAGTGATAGCTTTCTTCTTTGGTACTCTCAGTCTTTTATGTATTCATGACTAATAAAGGCCCAGTCTTAATTATGTATTTTATGGGAATTTTACTCTTGACAGGTCGAAACACATGGTTAAAGACATTCACAAATACTACAGATAACAATCTTCAGCTTTGAGTTTAAATGTCTGTATTCGTTGTCAGTTCAAAGGAAGGTTTACTACTTATCCAAGAGACAGTTTATAATGTAATAAATTATAAGGAAATTATACCTTAATAGTCTATATATTACTCATTTGCCAATCTATCATTATTCATAGGCACATCTTAGAATCTTCCTCTTTCTAGCTTGATAAGCAGTATGTCTTCAGAACTTGTCATTCACTGAATGTCTTTTTGAAAACTAATCTAAGGAGTCACTACTAAACACACACCTTCCGTAAAGAAATTCTTAGTAGAAGAAAGAAGACTTAAAACCAGGTTAACTAGCCACATATAAATGTCCACAGGGATATTTTCCTGCCATTCAGCATGACCTAGGAAGTATGAGGTAGACACTTCTCAGTGCCAGTGTATCCTTTGCAATATGGTAGTTTCATTAAAATGGTGCAACTAAAAATAACCCCACCTCATATCACATAGCAGTGTTATTGAGGCTGCTCTGTCATGTAAAATACTGTGACCTAATTTAAATTTTTTCAATAATACAATTCTCAGTAGAGAATATTTGGTTTGGGAGACATTTGATTTCTTTCCATCTAAGAGGGATTTAGACTGTTCTCAGATATTCAGTTGTCAGCAATTTTCAGATGAGACACCATTTGGCAGCAGATTTGAGAGCTCTGCAACTTTTATAGGTGTCTTTACCCTAACAGGAAAAGCCTTTGTGAGTTCATTATAAGATGACTCAGTTTTGACAAAGGTAAAGGAACATCATTCAGCTCTCCTGAAAGTGTAATCAATATATTAAAACCCCACCAACAGAAATCTACCAATCAAAACGTATGAAAATAAATTGATCTGCTTGGGCAAAATGTGGGAAAGCATGCAAATATTCTATAGGTACACCTTTGTGTGTTTTATCGCTCTTATTTTTCACAATTATGACCAACAATTCAGAATGCTTTAGAATGTTCTAAATCTTACTCTGGCATGAATTGCTATTATAGAATTTAATGGTGTATTTTATAAATGAAACTGTTTGGATCCTTTTGAATTTATGAGGATACTGATCTAGGAAAACAAATACATTGTTGCAAACTTTAATCTATCCTTTGCCATTGTCCCTAGATGAAAAACTGTACTGTCTCTATCCATGATGACTCCATCTTTGAGCCTGAGGAACAATTCAAGGTTTACCTTGGCCATCCTCTTGGAAACCACTGGAGTGGGGCCAGAGTTGGAAAGAACAATATGGCTACCGTCACAATATCCAATGATGAAGATGGTAACAGAACACGCTGCCTTTAGTTACTCTTAGGGTGATAGAATGTGATGTTTTACTAACAATGTAACTAATTGGAGGGGGGCAGGAGTTGAAACAATGGGAGTACTATTATTAAAGTGTCTGCTAATAACAGTTTCAAATTATTATATAAAATTTTGTCAGCAAATTATCACCCTCTATAGAGCGCCAGTAGATTCATAGATTATTTTTAAAGATTGATTTATTTATGCATACAAGAACTGGGCCAGAGGTGTGGGAGAGGGGGAGAATTCATCAGAGACAGAGGGGGGAACAGGATAAGCAGATGTACTGAAATACACTAAGGGGAGCAATACATTGCTGAGGGGAGCAGTGGGTGGGACAGGAGAGGTCTGCTGTTCCCTATGGTGCTGCAGTAGCTGCAGAAAGCTTCAGAGTGCTTCAGTTTAACCTGCACCAACAGGGACACCCAGTTTATAGATATTTTTAATTTCATTATTCCCTGCCACAGTGCCAAGAGATAGAGGGTGAGTGTGATTTAAAACTAGAACAGAGATGCTTAGACAGAGAGTGAGTAAAACTAGTTAAGTCACTGCAATTCAGGAGTAGGAATAGACGTACAATTAAAATCAGCTAAATCCAGTGAACTGATTTCAATGCTGCTCCTTCCTGGGAGGAAAAAGTCTAGTTTCTCAGTTTTCTTCTCTTTGATTTGATCTACTAACCTAGAAAATTACTTAAATTCTATAACTACTAGGCCTCCCTAGTGGCACATGGGGTTAAGTCTCAGCATTATCAAGCTACTGTCAGCCACTGTAACATCAATTTGACCCCCCAGCTAGGAAGCTAACTCACATAGTGCAGCAGACCCTTCCTGTCTGGACTTCTGCTCCCCTCAGCTGTGTATTTCAGTAGATCTGCCTGTTCTGCTTCTACTCTGACTCTGGCAAATCCTCTTACTCGTGACAAAATAAAATAAAATAAATAAAAATAAATCTTTAAAAAGAATTCTCTAGCCAGGTGTGGGTTAAGAGTGACCCAGGCACCAAGTAAAACAATTTATTTAAAATTGGAACATAATTTTGTGTTGTTAAAGTAGATAATTTAATGACTGTGTGGATAATGAATGATATTGCTAATAGTGATCACTATTTTATTTAATATTTGCGGTCTACCAAGAACCATGATAAGCTTATTGCATTATTTCTTTTAATCCTGACAGTAACCCCTTGAAGTAGTTATTATGCCTAATATTATGAATAAATTGAGGCTCAAAAGTTATGTAACTTGAGCTCTTAGTTATACAGCTAGAAGTAGCATAACCTTATTTCATTCTAAAATATACAGAAGAATCAGAGAGACTCTGAGTTTCTGATATAAAGTTAGAGACTAACTTGGTCATCGTGGGAAATAAGGAAAGCCAGCCTTGAAGTTGAATTGGTCCTTTACCCAAGGATACTTAATTTTGAATCCTGAGGTGAATCCCTCCCAGTCAAACATTGAGACAGAGAAAGAAGAACTTCATACTATGTTAAGGCAGGATTGCTAAATTTCAAAGACTAATCTTATTCAAAACTATGCAGCTCCAGTAAGGCTTATCTTCTATAATTAGAAAGAATTGACTTTTGGAGAGGGACAGAGAGGAATGAACAGAGTCTCTAGAAATTTCTGTAGAATTCTATAATATATTTTAATAATATAAAATGTGTAGGGGCCCTCCCTGGTGGCGCAGTGGGTTAAAGTGCAACACTGCAAGCTGGCTGCAGCTGCTTCAGTGCAAGTTCAATCCCCTGCCCTGAAGGTGACCCACATGGCAAGACCTCTCCTGACCCGCCCACTGTGTATTCCATCAGTCTGTCTGTTCTACTCCCCATTCTGTCTCTGGTGAATCTTCTCACTGCCCCTGTACTTCTGACTTATACCAGATCTGTATGTATAAATAAATAAATCTTAAAAAATATATATAAAATCTGTAATTGCTTTCAATTTCCCCATCTTTATCTCCCTCTCCCTCACTCACTACTGACTTAGCCTTCCCAATGAGAATATAACATAAAGGAAGGCAGAAATTGATCTTTTCATAAAAATCAGTATGTTGTATTCATCATATCTAACAATGAAACTAGTACCTCAAACTAGATTGTATTAGGAAAGTCTTGTGTTCTGATTTCTCATTGTAGCCAGTCAGTTAAACTATTCATTCTTGACTATATAACCTGTGAAAAGTTAGAAAAAGCTAAGAGGAGGGGGATGGGTGTCTCCAAATAGGAGGATCTGAAAGTCCAGAGAAGACAGATGTATTTGCTAAATGTAAGTAATATATAATAGAAATCTTTAAAAGTCATATTTTATAAAGGAAAAGGAGCTGGTTCCTATAATCAGCTAATACATATCAATGGATTTTTACCAATCCCTTGGTAAGACCTGAAAATTTAAAAACAGTCCGCAATGCCTAAGTGGAAATGTGGGCATCATGCATTTCAAAGAGCATACAGATATCTCCTTTACTATGTTGTTTTTAATGAAAAACAACTCCTACATATTCACAAATTAATTCCCTTTTTTCAATCTTTTAGGATGTGCCATTTTGCCTGGGACTATTAATAAATGTGAAAATTTCCTTATTGTCATTATAAGAGCCTGGAATCTGAATCTTTTGAAATAGACTAATTCTTAATTTCCTACGTTTGATTCCTTAGCACCAACCATTGAATTTGAAGAATCTGCATACCAAGTTCGAGAACCCTCGGGGCCAGATGCCATGGCTATTCTGAACATCAAGGTCATCCGCAGAGGGGATCAGAACAGGACATCCAAGATACGCTGTAGCACAAGGGATGGGTCTGCCCAGTCTGGTGTGGATTATTACCCAAAGAGCCGAGTCTTAAAGTTCAGTCCTGGTAATGAATTCCAGTCCCAATCTATGGGTTTGACCTAGTAGAGAAGTAGATATTTTAAACTGAAAGAAAGAAATGAACAAAAATTAAAGAGGAAAACAATAGTTACAATAAAACTAGCTATATACTAACACACACTTCAGATTGTCAGAATCTCTCAAATTTTTAATTATAAAATTGTATGGAAAAAGAAAAAAGGTAGTCCATTTCTGCAAAACAACCTGAGCATTTTGGATTTTTTTATTTTTGTTAGCCTGTGATTTGGTTGCATGATAGCAGAATTCAATTTGTAAAAAATATTTACCCGGTTACCGATATTTATCAAAAATTGGTACAAAGCCCTGTGCTGGGCCTTTCGGGGACTTCTAAAGCCAGGGGCATGATCTGTGCTCAAATGGTTTAACATCTAAAAGGAGACAGGATTAAGGTGGTGGAATGTCCAAAAAGGTTTATCTCAGCTCCAGACATGATTCATGAAAAGGACAGGAGATTTAAACCACAATTACCTCTTCAACTCCCTGATATATTACTTTAACAGGAGGAGTGAGATAGGGAAGAGGTTGAATTATATGCTAGGTTTCTTCACAGAACTTTCTGGAGCAGTAGAATGTGAAAAGGCTGGTATAAATCCAGGCACTACTTGTGATGTAGACAGAAGTGGGCTGCAGTGCTAGAAGGCTTCTTTAGAAGAGACTTGGCAAGTTGTGGGAGAAAATGTCTCCTTCAGAAATGAGGGGCATCTTTGTATGTCTCTGTCACCCCACTGGGACTTTTTTTTAAAGAAGTATTTATTTCTGCATACAGAACTGGGGTGCAGGCCAGAGGCACAGGGGCAGTGAGAGAATTCACCAGAGACAGAGTGGGGAGCAGGACAGACAGATTAAGGAGGAAGTACACTACTGAGGGGAGCAGCGGGTGTGTCAGGAGAGGTCAGCCACACCATGTGGGTCACCTCCAGGGCAGGGGATTGAACTCTCACTGAAGCAGCCACAGCTTGGTTTAGCTTCCAGTGCAGTGCTCCAATCCTCTGCGCCTCCAGGGAGGACCCCCACTGGGACTTTAAGGACTTTTGATTCCACCCCATGTGTGTCAGATCAGTGTTGATGGGAAGGTAGAATCCCCTTACTCCATATCTGTACAGGGCTCTCCTTTCAAATGTCTTTACTTTTTCCCTTTCTGTCTAAGGGTCTTGGAAATATAAGTCTTCGAAGTAACTAGAACAGATGTCTGTAGAAGGGAAAGAGGGAACCATAACTACTGCCACAGGTGTTTGCATCATCAGAGAATAACTGTGTCTACGTCCCCTTACTCACCACCCAGCCTGCCCACTGTCATTTTCTGTTCTTGTTTTTTGTTTTGTTTGTTTGTTTTTGCAGAGACTGGTCTGCCTTCTAGTTAGTGCTTCTCAGGCGACAGATTCGAAAGGGTATCTGTGTGCAGGTACCTACAGTCACACAGAAGCTCAGGCTTAAGTGGAAAGGGGAAAGAAAAATTAAGCTAAGAAACTCATAACCAGGGTGGAGTATATTTTGGATCATAGATTTTTATTACTGCCAGCGAGTGTCAGGCAGGGGCCATTAATCCTCATAGGGTGTTGAATAGTAAATCTGCAATACTGAGCATTACCACAGGTAGAATTTGGTCTATAAAACAGATTCCTCATTTGAGAAGGAGCTAAAGAGATTAGCCGCCCAGCATTTATAGAAACTTTTACAAGCAAAGGGCATATTTTAACATGGAGTCTCAGTAGTGCCAACCTGCACTGTCTTGGGCAGGTCACCTAATGAGGACCCTTGTCTCCTTTTGTTCTCTCCTTGACAAAGGTGTGGATCATATCTTTTTTAAAGTTGAGATCTTGTCTAATGAAGACCGGGAATGGCATGAATCTTTCTCCATAGTCCTTGGCCCAGATGACCCAGTAGAAGCAATTCTTGGCGATGTGACCACAGCCACAGTGACAATTCTAGACCAGGAGGCAGCTGGGAGTCTCATCCTGCCAGCACCACCCATTGTGAGTTGTTTGACCTACTGATCGTGTTCTTATGTCTTAGTGAGCAGTAGATAAAATTTGAGAGAAGCAGAGCATTCAGTGCTGAACTTTATTATACTTCTAACACTGGTTCTGAACCATGATTGATCTTATCCCCTCCTACCTTCACCCCTGCCACCTGCAGGGGACATTTGATAATATCTGGTTGACTTTTTTGGTTGTCAAATCTGTCACATAGGTTGTTTTTAGTATGTAGTAGATAGAAGCCTGGTATGATGCTAATTATCCTACAATATATAGAGGAGTTATTTGGCACAAATATCAAGGGTGTCATGCATGAGAAACCATATTGTGACATAAGAGTGAGACCAAACCATGTTGATGCTTTAGTCTGTTAAAAACAGGTACTTTAGTCTGTTAAAAGCAGAAACTACAATATGATTGAGCTCTCTGGTGGATTTACAGTAGCTTAAAAAACACACACAAACACAGCAGCAGTACTATCCCTATCTATCATCCTACATAGTCTATACATGAAAACAGAATTGAGTATCTGGAAATGGGACACCTTGTTTCCCAACTTGGAGATAAGTAGAATGAATGCTCTGACTTTACAATTTAGAAGGAAAGGCCTAAAAGTTGCCAAGAAATTTAACCCTTAATTATAATGCCGGTAGACTATCTTCTAACCTCCCTTGACTAATCTCATATAATAGAAGGATCATATCAAAACATGTCTTATTTACCTTATGAGAAACACACAAACTTCATTTACTCTAATTTGTCAAGTGGACCACCATGTCACATTAACAATTTTTCACATGTGTGATAAGGACTCTGCTTAAGAATTCAACTAGAAAGATAATAAAACTCAGTTTCTTCTCCACAACTAAAAATCTGCAATATCTTTTAGGGATGCCTAGAAAAGCATTTAGAAGCTTCTGTTATATTTTCAAGAAACTCTGGAAGGTAAATGATTGGGTATCTCTGGAGAAGACAACCTTAGTTTTCTAATCTCTCAGTCTTGGCCTTGGGCTTTGTCTTTGTTGCTCATTTGCAGGTTGTTACCCTTGCTGACTATGACCATGTAGAAGAGGTTACCAAGGAAGGAGTCAAGAAATCCCCCTCCCCAGGCTACCCGCTGGTCTGTGTCACCCCCTGTGACCCTCATTTCCCCAAGTATGCCATCATGAAAGAGCGCTGCAATGAGGCTGGCATCAACCAGACATCTGTGCAGTTCAGCTGGGAAGTGGCTGCCCCCACGGATGGCAGTGGGGCCCGGTCTCCCTTTGAGACCATCACTGACAACACACCATTCACCAGTGTCACCCACATGGTAGGTCTGGGGTCTGGGCCTGGTTGTGGAAAGAAAGAACTGGCATTTCTCTTAGTTCTTCAGAATCTATCAAATTCCCTAAGATCTCCGCATTGCACCTGGAGTGAAATAAATAAACAAGTAGGTTCAAAAGTACACACATCTTTTATTCTTACATATAAAGAAGAGTAATATGGCTGAAAAAAGAACTAAGCTAGGAGTCAAATAGCCTACTTACAGTCTTGATTGTGCCAATTTTTAATAGTGAAGTTAGGGATTTAATCAACATCTCTGAGTCTCAGTTTCCCTATTTGACAAGTTCGTTAACAAATCATGATCTATAAATGATAAAATAAGACAGAGATTCCTGGCAGGTGTAATTAGTGACTACTTTTCACGCCTTTTCAACCATTCACTAAATAGTAGGCTGTAAAGTCGTCAGGAACATGGACCAAGGACTCTACCACTTTTGTGTATCCCAAAGTGGCCAGCACACTGCTGACACGGGTAGAGACTAGTATGAAACAAAAGCCCAGGGTGTCCATTGAGTGACCCACATCTTACAAGCCCTGTGAGAGGACATGAAAAGGTCATTGTGCTCTTGCTGTTCTCAAAAGGGTGGGGTACCTGGCTCATGCCTCTGCAACCCTTGAGAGCAACGAGTATGATGCTTTTTCCAAATCAGGGACCAGTCCACTATGGTAACTCTACTCACTGCACCGGCAAAGTTGGTTCTTTTCAGAGAGAGAACTGAAAGAAAGTGGAGATTCGGTCTTAACATAATGTCTGGCATATGGTAAGCTCTCAGCGATGTCTGATTAACATCGTTGAGTTCACTTAATTTTGGAAATCAAGGACATTGTTTGGTCCACTTAATTTTGTAAATCAAGGATTCCCATCAAAACTTCTATTTCCCCATTTCAACCTGCAGCTTATTCACACTTTAGTAAGTGTTTCTCTTGTATGATAACAGTGGAAGAAAGCTGTTAGTCACATAATGGGATATGTGATAAAACAAAGTCACTCCTGCCAATTATTGTTGGCACAGTTTATTTAGAAAGACCAGAGACCAATTCTTGTGCAACATAATTATCTCAAATTTAAACTATATTCTGTAATACAAAATATTTTAATGGTGACTTAGTGCCTTTTTGTTTCATAAATTATAATTCTCCATTCCACAAAACCATGATAGAATAATGAATGGTACATTTTAACCAAATACCCAATTTATAACAATATTTTGTGTTTCACATTTTGTTCTTGCAAAAAATTATTGACTTTCTTTAACCCATTTTCCATTGCTTTATCTCTTCAACTGTTTATTTAAACCATTGTACTGTATGCATTTTCGTAAGATGTCTCAAATCCCTTCTGAACTAAGTATATGTATAAATAAATAAAACATTGGCAGCTAATTAAAAAATTTTTAATGGAAAATCTTCTTTAATTTTTAATGGACTTCAATGAAAACTGTTTTCATGGGTAGAATTTATAAGTTTGTATGATTGCTTAGTGGGAGGTCTATGGCACACAGAACTACTAATTAGTTTTGCTTTTTAAGTACATCCCAATGTGTGTGCGTGCATAACCTAGAGTCTGGGTGACCCTTATTGCCTCTGCTTAGATTGAGTTAAGAGCTCTTGCAGCTTCTGTATGTCTGGGAACATGAAAGTAGCTATAAAAAGATCCACAAAGGCTGGTAGCTACTGAGACAAATTTCTTCCCTTCAAACTGGTATGTTACTGTAACTCCTGCAGCATGTGTCGTCATTAGATGGGATTTGGGGTTGGGGATAACAGCAGGAAGGAAAGAGAAATAAGAATTCCTGAGAAGGAAGCATGTCCTCTCTTATCCTACACCATGCCCTCAGCAAAAGTGATTTAAAGGCCAACTAGTCTTACTGGAAACTAATTGGGTGGTCCTTTTGTTGAACCTGATCTATAAAAGCAGTGTTACTGTCTCTGGCAACTTGTTATCTCTGGGTTTTTGTGCCATGTCTGTCTATTGGGTCTTTGTCTTGCTGACCATCTTAGGCTGTAAGTACTCACTGCTATGTCCCTAGTGCCTTGCTTTTCTTGGAAAATTAATACTATTGGATGGATGAAAGGAGAGAGGCAGGAAGAAAAGGAGGGAGGGAGGCATGATATTCATAGACTACCATGAAGTAAGAGCTTGTATCATCTTATCACCCAAAAGATACAGTGAGGAGCGGATGTTCAAATAGTGCACACGTCTGAGAGTCTTTGCTTTTTCTGATAGGTCCTAGACAGCATTTACTTCAGCCGGAGGTTCCATGTGCGTTGTGTGGCAAAAGCTGTGGACAAAGTGGGCCATGTGGGGACTCCTTTAAGGAGCAACATAGTTACCATTGGTACAGACAGTGCTATCTGTCACACCCCAGTGGTGGCTGGGACAGCAAGAGGCTTCCAGGCACAGTCCTTCATCGCAACCTTGAAGTACCTGGATGTCAAACACAAGGAGCATCCAAACAGGTCAGTAGGTGATGCTTTGCACAACGAGAAGAGGAGTAAATCTCAAGCTGTCCTTCCTAGGTGACACATAATAATGAGTCCTGCTTCTACAAATAAAGAATAGCAATGATGAAGCCTAAAGAGTTTAAATTCTTTTTTTTAAAGATTTATTTATTCATACAGAACTGGGGTACAGGCCAGAGATGTGGAGGGTGAGAGGCTTCACCAGAGACAGAGTGGGGAGCAGAACAGGCAGATCAACGAAGTACACTGCTGAGGGAAGCAGCGGATGGGTCAGGAGAGGTTTGCCACGCCATGTGGATCTCCGGGGCAGGCGGGGAATCGACTTCATGCTGAAGTGGCTTAAGCTTCTTAGTGCTGTGCTTTCACCCGCTGCGCCACCAGGGAGGGCCCTTTTTTTTTCTTTTTAAAGATTTATTTATTTTCTCATACAGAACTGGGGTACAGACCAGAGGCTCAGGGACAGTGAGAGGATTCACCAGAAACAGCGGGGAGCAGAACAGGCAGATAGACAAAGTACACTGCTGAGGGGAGCAGCGGGCGGGTCAGGAGAGGTCTGCCGTGCCATGTGGTCACCTCCAGGGCAGGCGGGAATCGAACCTCATACTGAAGTGGCTTAAGCTTCTCGGTGCTGTGCTTTAACCTGCTGCGCCACCAGGGAGGGCCAAGAATTTAAATTCTTAAAATGTCTTTTGCCTAACTTCCTAGCCTCATTTTCCTCATCTTGTCATTTTTACCTGCTAGTCTATCCACATAGAATCATGTATAACTTGTCCAGGGCTTCAGTCAGACTCTCTCAGAGTGCATGGCTCTGCCTGCTGCTACTGCCAATTCCAACGCTTTCCCCTGGCCTCCCACTCCTTGTGGATAAATACATGGCCCCTCTACTAGTGATCCATCTCCTTCCTGAATTTCAACTTGGAAACTCCTTTGGTGCTCATGTATATACGTCTCTCTGAGCATCATCACTCACTCTCTCCCACTCTCCGCTGTGGATGGTGAAGGCAAGCACCATGAGTGTTCTTTTGCATTCTTTTGCATTCTTCTGTCTGGTGCTTCTTGACATCTGAGAGGGATTTGCCAAATATCCAGTAAACAAATGACTAATAACACTGTGTAAACTATAAGTCACCGGACAGATGTGTTTTTATTTCTTTCCGAGCCACCATGTGCTTGATGAAAATGGATAGTTTCATTTTTGCATAGCAAAAAAATTGAACGCATGTAAGCTATGTATATTCATTACACACCATAGTGTTTATGTGTGGAGCTTTATGAGCAACTGAGTTCAGAGAAAGGGGTTCATTTGCATGGAGAAAATTTTTAAATATGAAACCAAGTATATGCAAATCCCTCTTTTTCCTAACAATGAAATTTATTTTGGTTAAAGAACAAAAACAGATGTGTTCAAGGCACCTGTGTCCCTATCCTGACAAGAGACACTCTCTTCATACTCCAAGGTCCTCATTCCACTTTAAAACGTGGGCATTTGCTCCAAGAGACAAGCAATAATAACTGAAAATGCACCTTGTATAAGCATGCTGGAAATGTAAACTTGTCCAATGGAAAAAAAGCAGAACCTAAGGACAGTTTTGCTGTGTTCCCGTCTTAACCAGTATTTATTAAGTTCATATTTTATTTAGAATTATATACTGCATGCTCTTAAGAAACAAAGAAGTGAGGGAAATGATCCTAGTCCTCATAGTGGGGAGGTAAGATAAACAGAGCCTGAAAACATACAAGAAATGAGAGCCAATATAAATAAATTACAGATATCCTGTGCAAAGGCACCTGCATGCTGAGGAATGTAGATCACAAGCATGTGGCAGACTGAGGCCAGTAAGGGAAAGTGAGAATTGAAGGGAAAGGCAAGAGAAGAGAGAGTTGGGGAGAGATAACATGAGTAGTGGGATATTATTATTTCTAAGAAACTTCCTGGATAAGAATCTTGGCCTTCTTAGTTTAAGAGCTTAATGATCTTTGTGGCACAAACAAATACTTAAAGAAAATATGAGTGTTGTCGCTATGCAACCTGCGCAGATTTTAATTGTACAGAGCAGTGGAACACCTGTGTCAGTCACTCAGCTTTAGCTCATGAGGAAAGAGAGCTTCCTTTTAAACCTAAGAAAGCTTTAAAGTACTTTATGGTGGTGATACTAACTTTTCTTGTATAGAAAAGAAAATCTATGATTCTTGATTACTATCCGTTCTGAGTCTAGAGGACCTACATGGAAATCTTCACAAAAGAAAAGTTGGTAAAACTTTGGTGCAGACAATTTGGGTTATGAGAAAGAACTGTGCCGTATTAACTGTAGCATGCAACTAGACACTTATTTCTGCCCTTTTCTCCTAGAATCCATATTTCAGTGCAGATCCCACACCAGGATGGAATGCTGCCCCTTATCTCCACCATGCCCCTGCACAACTTGCATTTTCTACTATCTGAGTCCATCTACAGACACCAGCACGTCTGCTCCAATCTCGTCACCACCCACGACCTGAGGGGCATCTCAGGTGAGGGACAGGTTCTGTGCTGGTTTTCCCATCCAGCACTGAGCATTGGCCTCTGGGGACATGGCTATGTGAACTCTACTTTATGTTTTCCAGTCCTCAAAACCTTCATGATCAGTAGATTTCCTTCTTAGCAAATGACCAAACATAGGCAGCTCAGACAATGAAGTAAACAGAATCAAACTGGCTTAGATCCAAATCCTTTTTCAACTACTTATTTAACTGAACAGAAGGAACTGCACTTCCCTGCATCACTGTTTTCTTATCTATAATGTGAGGATAACAATTGCTACACATCAAGGTGAATATTAAAGATGTGGATGCTTTTTAAAGCACCCGTCCGAGTAAATTCTATTTCTTTCCCTCCCCTGCAGTGAACTTATCTGGATCCCATGTTCTAAAATCCTATTACTACACCATCTTTGGAAGGCTAAAGTATATATGTTAGATGTTATAAGCTAAGTTGTTCAGAAACAGGAGCCGAGATGGAGTTTGGGGTGCAAGATGTTTATTAGGGACACAGGTCTATTAAAGGGACAGACAGAAAGTAAGACTGCAAAGCCTCAACCAGCTGTGTCTCCAGGGAACCTTCCTTCAGACTTGACCCACTTCCAGCCAGAGCAGGCAGGCCTTCCTGCCCCCCAGCCAGAGGCATGACCCCACAGTGCAGCCTTCTGCAGGGACACGACGTGAGCCGGCATCTGAGACCCTCCATCTCCATGGTCACCAGAGCAGACATTTTACTCAACATAGAATCCTGTCTATTTCCCACTACCTTAGCAAATGTACAGTAAGTGTACATTTCCTCCCTTCATAACTGGTGAATCATTTAACAGTGTTTTGAAGATATAAAAGCAATCATATGCTCTTTCATATTCATTAGGCAGCTTCACTTTGGGTAGTGAAAATCTTTATACGTAGAAATTAGTTGAGTGTAAATTATTTGTAAATCATGCATCTGCACATGAAAGTTTAATTGGCCCACATATGCAAGCTAGTGAAGGAAACATACTACGTTTACAGGTTGAAAGTTTGTGCCTCTTCCCACTTAAGCACGATGAAATTCACACATCTTTGAGAACCTGGGCTTTGTAGGCTAGTGAGTTGGTGTCGAACATTTAAAAAAGGCTCTTCCAGAATGCTGTAGTTGTTCTTAGTACTATAGAAGTTTTAACCCTCGCATTCTGAAATTGTATCTGTATTCAGCTTTCTGCTGCAGAAAGGTCTCCCGTAATTTAGAACAGTCCACTTGCTTGGCAGCCTTTGATCCAATCATTTTTGCCTGTAGCAGGGGAGGTTTAGTCAAGCATCATTAGTGAGCTATTTACTCATTAACACAAAATTAGGACTTTTTCCCGTACGATTTTAGAAACCACAGGAGAGAAGGCTGGACGTCAGATGTTTGCTTGCTGGCCTTCCATAAAAACTGTTTTTTTAAAAATCCTTCTTAACAAAATAACCATTTCTCAGCAAATTACCCATTTCATAAAGCCCCCTCTTCAAGGACTGATTGTGAACATGAGCCAGACTTTGCAGATGTGACACGCCAAGTTTCTGTATTCTTATTCGAGATATGCCAGGTTCCTTCAGCCCCTTAGAGGGTCTGTAAACCAGTGGTGAACAGAGGTTTAACATGTGACAGCCAAGCCCCTTTAGCCTTTTCAAGAGTGCAGTAGGAGCCTCTATAAGGGGAGAGCTCTCTACATGGCCAAAGGACTCACCTTCTCTCCCCACCCAGCACCTGGGAAGCTAGCAAGGTACAGAGGGACAGACCAAGTTACTGTTCCTTATTCCTTTCCTCTTGCGCAGAGGCAGGGTTCCTGGACGACAAGCTCTATGACAGCACCGCCCTGGGGCCTGGCTACGACCGCCCCTTCCAGTTTGACTCCAGCGTGCGAGAGTCAAAGACCATCCAGTTGTACAAACACCTGAACCTGAAGAGCTGCGTCTGGACCTTTGATGCGTATTATGACATGACCGAGTTAATTGACGTCTGTGGGGGGTCTGTGACTGCTGACTTCCAGGTGGGTGCTCCAAGGGCCGCTCTGAGGGTTCCCTGCCCCTGGCTATCAGGTGAGACCTTGTTCGTTCCCAAAGTACTTCAGGTAGCATTTTGCATTCCCTAGCTAGGTGAACCAACCAAAGGAGTCACTTTCTTAAGAATTCCCTTGAGTGAGACCTTAGCAGTATTGTGTCTTGAGACAGCACCCCAAAGTCCTCTAAATCAGCAATTAGAATATTAATGTGAGAAGTGTTCAAATTAATGTGGGAAAGAAATGATTGCCTGGCACATTTATTTATATAAAAATCTAATATTCACTCTGGAGGCATATCTGTTTTTTCCTCTGGGTTTATTTTGGAAAGCCAAAAAGATTTACACTGATGGTAGGGTTATTACTACGTAGATGTATGCTCTTCTCCACCTAGGTAAATGAGTCAAAAACAGTAGGCAGGCAGGGTACACAGTCTCTTAGAAGACAAGCAGAGCACTGTCGTCCTACACATTATGGAGAGATAATTGTTTAAATCACTGATTTCTTATCTCTCCCAAACTGACAATCCTCACAAAAACAAATACCTTTTAAAATAGTAATTAAACTATAGTAACAATAGAGAATCTCTTATCTGGAAGCCTGAGTCACAGGAGGGCAGTTATACAAAAGGACTAGAATAGTGCATCCTCACAGAAGATGAATTTTAAAGCAGATTTTACCCTAATTTTAGCAGTTATCTCAATAAACTAAAAATTAAATGTTTGTTTTGCCTTGCACATCAGATTTAACCTTACTGAAGGAGGGAACTTGTAGAGGGACTTAGAATAATCATTAGGGAATGTCTTTTTGATTAAAATTTGTTTAATTTTCTTTGTGATGCCTCTCCTTTTGGTTTACTCTCATTTTGTATACACTACTGCCCTCTACTGAACAGAATTTTAAGCCATTCTTGGGTTTTCTTTCTGTTTCTACAGTTGCATAACCTGCATTCATTTTCAAAAATGAAAAACTAAGTGGTTCCTCCTCTGATTCTTCAAAAAATTAATATCCTCTGCTCTCCATATTTTTACTTCAATTGTATTTTTGTTCAGAATATATTTAATAATCTTAAAGACAATGATTTTTATTATATACATCTGCTTCTTAAATCAACACAGAAAGGATGCACAAAACTATTTCATTGGTATGTTTTTTTCAAAATAGTTGAAACAACTGATAGAAAGAATATAGAACTTAAGATGAAACCCTATTCTTACCCGTCCCTTTTATTTTATTTAAGTGATTTATTTGTTTATGCACACAGAACTGGGGTACAGACCAGAGATGCAGGAATGAAGACAAGATTCACCAGAAACAGAATGGGGGAGCAGAGCAGGCAGACTGACGAAGTACACTGCTGAGGGGAGCAGCAGGCGAGACAGGAGAGGTCTGCTGTGCCATGTGGGTCACCTCTGTAGCTAGCTTCACAGTGCTGTGCTTTAACCTGTTGTGCCACCAAGGAGGGCCTTCCCTGTCCATTTTAAATACCAGCAGATGTGAAGGCCATGTAAACTTCTGAACCTCATCTGAAATTGCAACCATAGTGCACATAATTAGTGAATATTTGTCAGTGTGTTTTTTGTTTATTTGTTTGTTTGTTGTTAAAATTAGTTAAGTTACATTTCAGGGCTAAAAATTAAAATTAAACAAAAGGAGAAAATTTAATTTGTCAGTCAACTAGATAATTACTGAGTTTCTAATATCAGTAGTTGTAAGACTAGGGCAAGTATATTTACTACATATCAAGGAGAGGGAATGTGGAATGACGGTCATATAAGATATGGAAATTGTTTAACAAAAACAAAAGATATTTCAGAAATGGATTTTCAAACAAATATGGAATTTATAGTATCTTCGAAAACTTTGCATAGCATTTTAAATCTCTGGCAACTTTGGATACAAAATATCACCTTAGAAAAAGAAAGTTTTGATAGCATAAATTTTAATATAGTATTTGCTCTTTTCTTAAGTTACCCACAAAGATATTTTGTTTTGCATTTGCAAACAAAAGAATAATGTAAGTTTCATAGTATATTATAGTCTTTTACCAAGATATTATTTTATTTATTAACATTCTGGACAAGTAGACTTGGCTTAAAACTTTTGTTGTTTTAAAATATATATTTATGGAGAAAAATATAAAACACATTTAAAAATGAATTAATCAGCTTCCCATCCTCACATGCATAGATATAGCGTCACATAAAAACTTTTTTTTGGCCCTTCCTGGTGACACAGCAGGTTAAAACACAGCACTGAGAAGCAAAAGCAACTTCAGCATGAATTCGATTCACCTGGGAGGTGATCCACATGGTATGGCAGACCTCTCCTGACCCATCCATCTGCTGCTCCCCTCAGCAGTGTACTTCATCGCTCTGCCTGTTCTGTACCCCACTCTGTCTCTGGTGAATCCTCTCACCGCCCCTGCACCTCTGGTCTGTACCCCAATTGTGTATGCATAAATAAATAAAACTTTAAAAAAACTTTTTTCATATTTTATCATCCAGTTTTTGTTCATTTTGTTCATTGCATAGTAAAATAAAAATTACTGTGCTGAAAAATAACAATAACAGAAACTCACTCAGAAATACTCTATTGGAAGTATGATATATTAACTTTTCAAAATTGTTTTAACAAGGCATTGTGTGAATAGAAACTTATCTGAACAGATGAAGCTCTGAGCTCTCTGTTGTAAGTTTCCTGGATTTGACATGCAAATCCCATAACCTTTGTTCCTGGTACAGGAGTCATGAGTCCCACTAAAACATCTAAGTCACTCGCACACCGTCCTCAGGATCCAGCCTTGGGCATATTCCCAAGTAGGATTGATTCAGGCTTTCCTGTAGATCACTAGTGCATATGACCAACGAAAGGACAGATCCCAGGTCTACCAGGTCAATCTGTGGGAATAAGTGTGACACTTTAATAATCAGCCAGTAATTGGTAAACAAGTTCCTGTGGCACAGCTCTGATCACTGGTACATGATCAAGTCTGCAACACTGAAATACCCTTGGTATTTATCACTCATGCATTCATTCATTCATTCATTCAATCACTCACTCATGTTCCAACCCACTTACTCGTCTTCTGAGTCTCCAATGCTCAGAGCCTATCCCAGCACCTAGAAGCCGGCACCCTCCCCCCCTGTACAGAGCCCCTTCCACTTGTGGATCATATTCACATGCATCCCATTCACCCAGACAGCTGAGATACACAAATTAGCCTGACGTGCATCTCTTTAGGATGTGGAAGGCTGCCCAGGTACCTGGAGAAAACCTATGCAGGTATGGGCAAATAAGTAAACTCCACTCCGACAGAAGTCCCAGCCCCAGGAAGCAATGTTTTGTTTTTTTCATCAATCTTATGACAAAATAACATTGCACAAAACTGCTACTTGAGGACTTACTGAAAGTATATATAAATATGGAAATGTTTTCTCCATTTCTTCTTTTCTAAAATAACCACACTTTTAAAGTATCTGTTACTGGTACATGTATTTCCAGGCTTTTTATTGTTAGTTTCTATAATTTTAAATAAAAACAAAATAGTGATACACCCCCCCAATAAATAATTAATAATTAAAACATGTCAGGCAAAGCTTCTAGCAATTGAACTGTGGAGACAGCTCCTCACTCTATGCGAGTGTCACGTCCTCAGAAACGCCATCCCAGCACCCTCTCTAAAGAAACATCCCAGCCACTTCCCATCATCCCTTGCTTACTTGATTGTTTAATGTGTGGATCTCCTTTATGAGGCTGCAGTTTTCACAAGGTCATTTATTTGGTTTTTTCTCACCACTGGAGACGCAGCACCTAACCTGGTACCCAGAACATCGTGTGCACTTGATTAGTAACTATTGAATAAAAAACCAAATGTGAGAGTGGAAATTGAACTGAGGAGTACTGATCTGAGGCTTTGCATCCTGGGAAGAAACCATTCTCTCTCATGCCCACCATTTGCTTGGCAGGTGAGAGACTCTGCCCAGTCATTCCTGACGGTGCACGTACCTCTATACGTGTCCTATATCTACGTGACGGCTCCCCGGGGCTGGGCCTCCTTGGAGCACCACACTGAGATGGAATTTTCCTTCTTCTATGACACAGTTCTTTGGAGAACAGGTATACTCATTGGGTATCTTAACTCGTCTTATCTTATGCTCAAGCAAAATTAAAACAAAATAATCAGTGACTTTTAACAGTGGCTGCTGTCATCCTGGGTCCTGGGTACAGAGGGAGCTTCCAGGAGTCAGAAAAGCTTACAATGTGTGGCTCTTGATTAAAAACAAGTGTCATGTGTTTTGCTGGAAGGCATCAGGGATGAAGAATTCTCCCTCCACCTTCACCCCACCCCCCACACTATAGCTAGAGGACCTAAGTACAAGATGGCAAGTGACAGATGGGTGTTGCACCACCCATTAGGAGTGCAAGACTATGTGATCTTCTGCACTACAATTAGGTTTATTTTCTTCCAGTTAAAAATGATGCAGTTCATATTGTTTAAGGAGCAAAGGGGTCTTCAAGTCAGATGCATGGCAATGGGAAAATGGATAGCGAGCAACATGGTTCACTTTATTCATTTGACCTAGAGTTTGCTCATTTGTTGCATTTTTTTTTAAAGTGTGGGTGGGGGGGCATTTAATTCTACTTTTACTTCAAGGTCCGTATGCTGAATTTTCACATGACTTCACCTCAGCCTTGTCTCTGTTGCTGCTTCTTTGAGAAACCAACCCCCCTGCACCCACCCACCCCCTCTGGGGGGCCAGATAGGTAACAGCTAGGAGCTCATGTCTCACTACTCCCACCCCTTGCTATCATATGAAAGCACCTTAATTTCCATAGAGCTCTCCTCTGTTCATTCAGTAGGTGTGCGTTGTTTTTGCTTTATTTCCATAAGTATAGTGTCCTAGACTTCAGCCCTTACCCCACACTCACTTCCCCTTCCGTTGACTTCTCCCAATTCCCCTTCTCTACCTCTCCTGGTGGTGATTTACTTGATCTGAGGCAGAGTTACTAAAGGACAAGAAGAATTTTCTTTAGAGAAGGCCTCACATCAGTAAGAGGAAGCACAGTCATTTCTTCTATTAAATGGTTTAAGCTCTAGTTACTTGTTTGTTTTATATTTCTCATAGGAAGATAAGGAAGTTTTCATACTTGGTCGGATAACTTCTTGAACTTTGGTTTTTTTGTTTTTGCTTTATTTTTACCTGACCCTTGGTTACCTTTAATTTTGGGTCATTCTGAACTCAATGGGTATTGTGAAGGCAATTGCCCATATTAAAATCACAGTTTATGCCATATATAGCTGGCTTCTACAGGCTTGCCTTCAACTCTCCATTACTTTAAATGTTAAATGCAGCCACCAGAACTTTATATGTGGTTCTATTAAATCCTGAAAGGCATCTTTAGAATGAAAAAAATATATATATGGTATGAAGCAAATGTGTTGTAACCACTTCTGGTTGTTGAGTTGATAGTGAGAAGTTTTAATAATCATTCTCTCCCCAGGCTATAAACAAAGGTCCTGAATCTGGGCTAAGTGGTATTCACAGGTTCAAGAGACTGTATCAGGCATAACAGAACTATAAAAAATAGCCAAGGAGAATGAAATGTCATGCAAGTTTAATTTAAAAATATCTCTAAAGAGTTTAAATGTTCGTATGAATGTGTCGTTTTGTCCTAAGTTATATTCAAATAACCATGCAGCTCTAAGCTGTCACTGGGATAGTTCAGGTAGGCTGAGACTTGCCCTCTGCCCTGATGTGGGTGTTCTCTGACCATCTCCCTGCCCAGGAATCCAGACAGATAGTGTGCTCTCAGCAAGACTTCAGATAATTAGAATCTACATTCGAGAAGATGGCCGGCTTGTCATTGAATTCAAGACCCATGCCAAATTCAGAGGTAATATCCATGCCGGTGGCTTTTTCTTTGACATTTTAATAACATGGACAAAAACACAGTACTTTTGTTGACTTTGTTTTTCATTGCTCTTGTCTTTCAATAGAACTACCATTTATATTTTGATATGTAAATGTATCCCTACCATTTGGGGTGGGGGAGGGTATATAATTAAGGCAAATCTAAGGCTCATGTCAAGTTACACTAAGTAATTCAGTAGATATCTCGTGACAACAAAGAAATTCTCTTTTCACATAGCTTAGCATGATTGCATCTAAGTATCGATCTACTAATATTCAAGCATTATTCATATTTCCTCTATTTTTGACAAATGTCTTTTCTACTTGCTTTTATATTTGTTTATATTTATATCTGCTTATTATAAGAAAAGTGGTTCTGATCAAGTTTCATTTATTATAGTTTGGTTGTATATCTCTTTAGTCTGTTTAGTTTGAGAACTCCCTCTATTTTTAATTATTCATGACACTGTATTACTGCAGTTTTAAAAAGTGGAAATAGCTTGCTGAGTAACATAGCTTTTAAAGATGTAATAACCTTAGTTGCTTGATGGCAGATATATTAATTCAGTTCTCTTGTACAGGATTCACCATTAGTAAACAAAGCTCACAAATAAGTGTATGTTTCACTTTGTATAGGACAATTTGTGATGGATCACCACACCCTCCCTGATGTGAAGTCTTTCATATTGACTCCAGACCATCTAGGAGGAATTGAATTTGACCTGCAGCTGCTATGGAGTGCTCAGACTTTTGATTCACCTTATCAACTCTGGAGAGCCACCAGCTCTTATAACAGGTGAATGCAGGATGGAGTTCAGGGATAGATCTGAAATGGTTTCAGGTTCAGGAGCTTGACTTATGCCTAGATTTTTCCTTATGCCTAGATTTCTGTTTGAGAATGAGGCTCCATAGAAACAAGCCTCTGGCAAATGAAGAAGCAAATGTCTTTCAGATCAACTTCCCATGAGTAAATAGGAAATGTTTGCCTTAATTCCAAGGGCAAGACCCAGCTGGATACTTTCATTTCCAGTCACATTCATTGGCTAGAATGTAGTCACATGGCACGTCTGCCTGCAGGGGAAGCTGGGAAATGTGCCCAACTTAGTATCAGAAAGAAATTTCATTCCAATTATCCCAAACCAAAGTCAATCCAAGCGCTCTGGTTATTAGTTCCAGGGGGCTCCTTAAATGGTCCTATATCCTATAAAATAACAAGATTTATTCCTCTCTTACACCTAGTAGATAAATAGAATAGAAATTAGATAAATACATTAAATATCTCATTTGTGAAAAGGAAGACTAGGAAAACAAAATTACAATTGTCACTGTGTAATATGGTAATGGGATAACAAGGTAATCATAAATATTACCCCCCATTTTGTAGATCATGAAATTCAGATCTTTAGCATGAAAATCTTTTTTGAGCTTATAATTAACATTCATTTTCTAAAGGATTTCTTTAATATAAGTTTTTGACTTATATAAGATTTTTTTTGGTGTAATAATTCCTTTGAAATTGATAAATAATAAAATAACCTGTAGGGGCTGTGAAATTATAGATGTGCTTCTCCCCTATTTATAGACAGAGAAACTCTTTAAATTCTCCATGACTTCCTGCTACCAGCCAGAAGTCTGAAACTTATATAAAACCCATCCTGCCCTATTTCAGACCCAGCCATTAAATATCTCACCAATTCCTAAAACCACCAGTCCATCCACACCTCCACGCCTTTGCAATTCCATGTGCCTGTCCTACTCTTTTCTTGCAAAACTTGAACTCTAAAACTCAGTTCCAGCACTGACCCTGCTGAGAGGTCTGCACCCTCCCCTGCAAGTCTCCAGTGCTAGAAGGACCCTTCTCATTCTCACTTTGCTCCAGCTTCTACTGAAACACAGCTGTGATTATCATTATAATGCTGTAAGTAGCATCCCATTTTCTACTGGACCTTGAAGTTCCCAAAGGTAAAGGGAGTAATTCTGAATCCCAAAAACTACAGGTTTTAGCACAGTAGTTAGGTCCTTTAGCAACCTACATTTGAGATCAAGGGGGAAAGGAAACATAAATAAAGTGCAGAGTGAAGAAGAAACCCAAGCACGGTGAGCTGTAGAGAACACCGAGACCATAGCTATTCAGAAAACAGACAGCCAGCATCAGCTGGAAGCTGTACAAGGCTTCCTGGTGCTCCATGTACGAAGCGGAAAATGTCTATTTTTAGAAAAGAAAAGAGAAGAACAATAGGATTAAAGATCTGTGTTTAGCACGTTTGCAGGGATAATGAGGAATTCAAACTAAATAGTATTTTTCAGGGTAAAGAGGAAGTGTGGGCTTGAGTGACCTTTCAATTTGTTCTGCATTCATTTTTTTTTTAAGTTTTATTTTACTTATTTAATGCATACAGAGCTGGGGTGCTGGCCAGAGGTGCAGGAGCAGTGAGAGGATTCAACAGAGACAGAGCGGGGAGCAGAACAGGCAGATCGACGAAGTACACTGCTGAGGGGAGCAGCAGGCGGGTCAGGAGAGGTCTGCCACACCATGTGGGTCACCTCCTGGGCCAGGAATTGAACCTGCACTGAAGTGTTTTGTGGCCAGCTTGCAGTCCTACGACCTAACCCATTGAGCCACCAGGGAGGGCCCCAGTTCTGTATTCATTTGTTCACCGATTCTACAAATATTTGTCAGGCATTTATGAGGTGTCAGGAAAGGTTCTGGGGATAAATAAAGATCTTTTACACAGCATCTAAAAGGAAGGAGTCCCAAAACAGTAGACATAATAAATAACTATAATCAAACCTATTATAGTTGTTAGATGATGATGAGTGCCATGGAAAATAAAAGCTATCGAGCAGAGTAAGAGGGGATAAGGAGTGTGGGACGCATTGTAAGTTTAACTAGCGTGGTCAGAGTTGGGCCTCATAAGAACGTACATTTGAGCAAAGACTTGAAGAAGCAAAGGACTTGCTAGGCAGATTACCTGAGTAAGAGGTTCCTGCAAAGTGCCTGAGATGGGAACTTTCTCATTCATTCTAGGAGCATCAAGAAGTCCATGTTGCTGGGGTGGAGTGAGCTAGGAAGAGGGAAATGGGTAAGAAGGGCAAATAAATCAGAGGCTGCGGATCAGGTGACAGGGAAAAGCAGTTGGCTTTCCCTCCACTGCAGTGGTACAGTGGTGCCATGTGATTGGGCCTCACTCTTGGAAAGTTCAGCCTAATGAAACATTTCTATTTATTAAGAGTCACCGCTCACATCACAGAATGTCACTTTTCACATTATTCAAATGTGGCTATAAGGTTTGATTTTCTGATGATCCTAACTTTGAAGGGAGATAGGGACAATTTGGAAATTCACACACATGACCTGCACATGTTCAGTGTTAGAGTGGGCCTAGAAACAAGCCCTGAACTTGGCTTATTTTATCTTTTTTTTATTATTATTATTCATACAGAACTGGGGTATAAGCCAGAGGTGCAGGGGTGGTGAGAGGATTCACCAGAGACAGAGTGGGGAACAGAACAGGCAGATGACAAACCACTCTGCTGAGGGGAGCAGCGGGCTGGTCAGGAGAGGTCTGCCGTGCCATGTGCTCACCTCCCGGGCCGGGATCGAACTTGCACTGAGGAGGTTGCCGCCAGCTTGCAGTGCTGCATGGTAACCTGTTGTGCCACCAGGGAGGGCCAGCTTATTTTATCTAACATCAGGATCAGTCAGACTATCTCCCAGTTTTTAATCTGTACTAGCCCACTCAATTCACCCCAGGATATGTTATAAGTATCTTGTATATTCATTCATTTGAAATCTTTGCTGTTACTTTCTTAATAGACCTACATAATATCCAAGAAATGGTCACAGAACCAAACCAACAGATGTGAAAAGAATTTACAGATTGCTCAACAGTTAGAATTAAGATTCACAGTCCTGCACTCTCCTTTTAATGGATGGCAGGCTCCCAGAGCACTGGAAGAATCTTCCTGAAGCTTCTGGATGTCTGGCTGCCTTCCAAGCATCAGCCAGGGCAGGGCTGCTCCTCAGTGACGAGTGTAGGAAATGAAGTAGGTGAGGGCGCAAGGGCTCTGTGCCCTTGGGAACACGGCCCAAGTCAGTGTGTTTCTGGGTAAGTAAAGCATCTCTAAACTGTTTCCTCTAACCTCAGTGTGCTTTTGCATATTTCCAGGAAGGACTACTCAGGGGAGTACACCATCTACCTCATCCCTTGCACTGTTCAACCCACACAACCGTGGGTTGACCCAGGAGAGAAGCCTTTGGCCTGCACAGCACATGCACCAGAAAGGTAGAGAAGTATAGTCCTTCTTTCTTACCTGAATCAATCCACTGAAACTTATTTCCAAATTTAATTCCTGTGATGTTGATGTGGTCAATCGCAGACACCAAGTAGAAAAATCAAGTCAGCTGAGACTCATATTCCCAGCTGAAGCTGAACAAGAACACTCTATCATCTTTCTGCTCTCATCCTGTAAACAAGTGCACTTTACATGGTCTGCTTAAAAACATGTTTTTCATACTTTTGAGCTATTTGTTGGTGATTTTGCTATTCAAAATGACTTTTTAAAAAGATTTAATTTATGGCCCTCCCTGGTGGCGCAGC